CCCCCCCCCCCCCCCCCCCCCCCCCCCCCCCCCCCCCCCCCCCCCCCCCCCCCCCCCCCCCCCCCCCCCCCCCCCTGTTTTCATATCAATATCCGTTGATCCTGCACTCGTTCTCTGTGTATCGTACTGTTGTTGAACTGAGAAGTTCTGCGGTTCATCGGGCCATTGGCACCGTAGCCGGGATTGGGGTTTGCGATCGGGCCTGTGTATTGTGGTAAGCTGCGCAGCGCCATGCCAATACAGGTCGTCAGGGTTGCTTCGCCAGACCAGTCCGTGAAAGCCCTTCCCCAGGACGCCCACCAACCGTGCGTCGTATAGAGAATCGTAGTGCTTCTTGATTTTAGCCATAAAATCCTTCAGCTATCCCAATTCCCTAGTCTCTGTCCATTCTCGAGCCTCTAGGCCCCCCTCCGCTAGCTTTGGATAAGCCTATCCATATTCACGATAGGCCCACAGTATCTGCATGTCCATTCGCCCACCGAAATCGATGCAAGATCCGATATCTTTCTCCCTGGAAGAATTTCGGTGAGGCTATGAGCAGGTTCATTCCTATCATGCGCGTCGGTGGGCGCTGTATTTAGAAGTGGCCCTTTGCGCAGCAATTGGGTGATTGCGCATGAGGTACGAGAGGCCCAGGGACCCTAACGGGGTCTGCGCGTTCTCGCTCAACGTCTTCAGGAACCTGGGCAGTTGAAAGTGGCATACATCCCTATTTCCTCGCCACACAATGCGTATGTGAATTGGCATGTCAGAACGAAAGACCCTCCAGGGCTTTGGACCAAGACAGGCTTGCCACGAGGCAGACGATTCCGACGTATGGATTTGTTTTTAGTGAAATCTTCTCGGCAATCTGGTGGCTCATCTTCGAGTGACGTATCCCTACTCGGTATGAGTTTGTTCCGGCACTGAAACGGTCGATGCATGATGACGATGGGATACCAGAGTTTCAGAGTCGCTTCGTTATCGTTCTCGGTAAATGTGACAATTCATCGCGTACTTTGCATAATACGGATATGAAATGAGCCTCCAGGCATTGTCAGGTCTGCAAAACACATACCACGCATAGTAGGAGGGATCCATGCGCACGACTTGCTGGACTATGGCGTAGTACATAGACCTTAGCCACCCGTAGTTTTCTCGGCCGCCGATACGACGCTGATGGTGGAGGTACATGTCCATTTCCTTCTGAAAGAGTTGGATAAGCGTCGTGCAGCCTTCTACCGGCTGCACGAATGGATCTCGCCACCAGGACATTTATCCCGGTATATTGACCAAACATAATTCTCGGTAAATGTGACAATTCTCGTACTCTAGGTCGAGGTCCTTACATGCTTCCGCATGGTTTTGAATTGATAAGCCTTGTTATCGAAGAGGAAGCGCATGGCGTTCAGCCGCCACGTTTTTTCGTTGGAAAAGTCTAGTATTTTTTCATGCTTTCGTCGCTCGCTATCGCCTGTACGCGACTTTGGCATTTCGGTATACATTCACCCAAAGTTTCAAGCGAAGGGCTTTGTATATGCCTTGAAAGGAAAGATGAGCGAGGATATACAGCAAATCCCAGAAGGTCTATCCAGAATGTTAGGCGATCATCGTGAAAGATATCATGAAGCTACTCACCTTGATTTAGGAGGATATATATAAGAGATTGAGGGGGTATATAGATGCTTTGAAATTTGCAGGTGATGGGAGATGGTTGAAAGAAGAAGGATTTCAGACGGGGGGGCGGGGGGGGGAGGGGGGCCATTAAATAGGGACCCAGAGGAGGGATCATTCACAAGAGGACTCAGCATGGAAGGGGATCATTGCCAACAAGATCCGCCAACCCACATTTTGTAGTGAAGATGCAAATATGTCACTTCTTTGATGCCTAAATCATTCACATTTGGCCTCTGTATATCTAAGCCATGGTTGGCATAGCCTATTTTCATCATGTAACTAGGAATGTCAAGGTCGGGGTGAATCATCACCATGAAAATCTCATTTATTCCATATATAAACTCATATATAACGAGGTGGAGTGAACAGCATCACGGCAGGCTTCACCTCGGATAAATTTGGGGAAGGGCCCAGACCAAGATTGTTCAAACCACCCTAGACGCACAGTGAAGCGGTAAAATGATGATATTCACACAAACAATTTGATGAGTGGAGATGAAAATCCACAAAATCCCGTTCAAAGGGAATTTAAACGGCCCATACCATATGTAACCTGACATGGAAAATTGTGGTGAATCTTATTTCGACAAGGTGCTCTCCTGCTCTAGTTCTCGGACTGCGACATCCAGCAGAAATCGAGCATAGCCACGATGCAATCTTCCTGACCATTTCGGGAGCTCTTTCTGATTTTCAAAACCGCCTTCCGACGGGAACGTCTCGTAGTCGTGCGCGGAAGCAAAGCGGACTTCAACGAAAGGGCCGAGGGCCTTCTCTTCCCCTTCCCCCTCAAACGGTTCCGAGACACTCATCTCATGCCGACCCCCCGACATCAAACGCCACGGATAGCCCCATAGAGAAATTTTTTCGAAGAATTTGCGCGCCTCGTCGGGAATTTTCCAGGAAACCAGCAAGCCGTACGGCTCGCGATTGGACGGCGGTCGCTCGACCACTAAAGCTCCATTCACGATCTCGCGCGGGGCTCCTGTTTGAGGGTCAGGGGAGAATTCGCCCGGCGTATCGCCCATGTCACCCGGGTCAAAGCGCCGTTTAGTGAAGAGACCGATGATTGCAGACTCAGCGTGAAAGACTCGAGTCCCGAGCAGCGATTGCGCCCATGCTGTAGAGAGCTCTACATTTGTTTTGGGGTTCTCGTTGAGACCAAGTCGCTTCGAGTGAGCCTGTAGGGAGCGAAGAGGCACCCGAGCTGAATAGATATCAACATAGGCACAATGTTGAGTTGATGGATTGGCGGGAATGCCCAAAGCAGCGCTTCCCGATGATGTGGGAGGTCTAGCCGGGTACTTGGTCTCCAGAACAGTGAGATAGCGGTGTGTCCCGTAGGCCACAACTATCGGGGGTAATGCCAGTGCAAGCAGCAAGCGGGATCTGGGTCGTGCAGCCATTGCCATTGGAGGTAAATGGTTAGATTGATGCAAGAATTCGGAAGGTAGCTCTTGTTGATATTTCTCAAAGATAGCCCGGGTTAGTCCGATGGGGGCTAATTGCAGAGGCAGGATCGCATGATTTACCAAATCCCTCCAGCGGACCCAGCACTCGGGATACCCCAATAGTTAGTTGGGTAGATCAATTGAGCTAGATCTCTGGAGATAGCCGCTGTAATTCTGATGATTCCGGTGTTTGACCTGCGAGAGATTTTGAGGGGTTGATGCCACAAAGGAAATTCCCCTGAGGTCTAACTCGAATAGGCAAGTACCTGGCACGGGATACCACGGGCAGCCTTTACTAGAAGTCATTCCGTCTACACTTCCACATTCTGTTATCCGTTCAAAATATCAAACACCGCTTTTAGTATTCCGTGGCCTAGTACAGATGACTCTTGCCTAGCGATATGTCATATGATCCAGCCCCATTATGCACCGCTAAATGCAGACAACCACATAAAATTGAGAACCGGGAATACAAACAGCCAAGGGCTCGCCAATTGAGAAAAGTCGAGAGAAGAGCTAGAGGACAAAGTAGGCGCAGCAGTGCTCTACTTCTTTTTTTATGTTTCTATATGCTAATATTGAAGCGTTATATGGGAACCGAAGCATAGTACATAGGCAGCCATAATTCAAGCCAATCGGCTACAGTCGACTAGATCCATACCCACTCCGTATACCCGATCGCAGTGGGGACAGAAGGCAGACTTCTATACCGCGAAGATCATCGCAAAGCTGCAGAACCAAAAATAAATACCAGATACAAGGATCAATTCTATAAGAAAGCTACCATGTCGGTCCCAGGTCTTTTTTTCTACGATTCTATACACAAAGACAACAAGGGTACATTAATTTATTCCTCCTATACAATATGATCAACATGAGTGTCTTGCCATCTTGCATACATGGCATCCAATCCGTGATTGCTTTGGTGATTCTAGGCTGTTCGGCAGCTAAATTATCGGAGGAGTCATCTAGCGGATTTTCCCTGGCTTTGTTCACAGTCAGTTTGCCCATTTCAAACCCCTACTCTGAAGGCCTATACTCACATAGAACAACCAGGCCATCGCGACCATTCTCGCAGCAATCTACATCATCACCACGTCTTTCATCGCAAAGACGCTGTTCAAGTTATGGGTCTCCGTTGCATCCAATGCCTTCACCCTGACTTTCTGGATCATTACCGTCGGAGTCTTGGGCGCTGCGCATCATTCACACAATTGCGGCGGACATCAACATAATCATTGCTATCGAAAGCGGTATTATCATGGGACGAATGGTATTTGGGCTGCAACTATGGCTTTGAGTATTATTGATGGGTAGGTCCCGGTTCTCTTGCTTTTTATGGGTTGAAACGCTCATATGAACTTTAGGATACTTTCTGCTATTGCACTTGGGATTTCCTGTTGCGGTCGGAAACCCCGAGAGAAGAATGAGGAGGTCGCATAATGATGTTGGACCAGTTGTACGCAGATATTACTGTATTATAGAGGGTGCAAGCGCTGTATCCCAATGCTTTATGTATGAATGAATCTGTTTAGTCAATTTTTCCATTCATATTTTAACTCTGGGGTATACACGGTAACATGGCCCATTTGGGGCGGCTACCGTATTCAATTATATATCGATCGCTTGGTAGAATTGTAACATTGACCTAGAACTGGCGTCTCTTTGAACAAACTCTTTTTCAGTGGATATACTAAATCCCTAGAATGGGTCGAATAATAATTATTATTGAATCAATCCCAAATCTAGAATAGAATGTCCACTATGCCATAGAGTTAACGGTGTATTCCGTTTAATCGCGGGGCGGGCCAGATCCGCCCAAAATAATTTCGATTCCGCCCTCCAATTTTTTTCCCTTTACAAATCAACCACCCCTCATTTCGACCAACCTAGGCTACGAAACCCAACAATCGCACTCTCAATCCACCTCCGATCAAGAAATCACTCACTCAATTACCTCCAACACTCAATCTTCCACACCCGACGAAGAATATAGAGAAAAAAAAAAAAACCAACTACCCCGCGCACCGCACTCCCCACCGACAATGACCTCACCAACGGGCCCAATGATCGACAACTCGCTCGACGACATCTTCGGCTCCTCACCACCGCACGAACCCTCTCGCGCACCGGAACCCGTCTCGAGCAACAAGTCTCAACCGTCCGTCGAGCCCTCCGAACTACCCTTCCTCCGTCGCCAACACGTCACGGCTGGTTATCGCGACGGCATCTCGACCTCCAAGGGCGAACATGTCCAGGAGGGCTTCGATGCCGGATTTCCCGTCGGTGCGCAGCTGGGTATGCGTGCGGGAACGGTCCTGGGGATTCTAGAGGGTGTGATGCGAGGATACGAGAGCCGGGCTGCTTCGGCGGTGATCAGGAAGATGCCCGGGAGGACCGGGGCTGGAGGTGCTGCGACAGCAGGGACCAGGAAGAAGAGCGAGGAGGGCCAGGGCCAGGGCCAGGGACAGGGTGGCAAAGAGCTCGACGAGGAGGCGAGACGCGCGAGACGCGAAGAGGTTCTGAAATTGTATCAGAGCGCCGTGAAGGCGTTGAATGTGCAAGGCGTGTTCGGGACCCTGGAGGAAGGTGGCGAGGATGGAGAGGGGAAACCGAGTCCGGAGACGCAGCTGGCGGGGAAGGGTGATGGGGTTGTTTCGAAGTGGGAGAATAGAGTTCACGTCGCGCATTGGGAGGAGAATATGGATGTTTTGCAGATGAAGGAGGCCGATGGTGAGGCCCAGGCCCAAGGTCAGGACGAGGGGGCGGAGGTGGCGGGTGGTCTGAGTTGATTGGGATTGGGGTTGTTCTTCCCGTTCTCTCTTCTCTACTCTGCGCCGCTGTACTGTGCTCTCTACCTTCGGATCTTCTGTCGGGGCCCAGTTTCCCCCCTGTCGGCCGCCCTGGTCTCACCGCAAGCGACCTATGCGGTCATGGAAATCAAGCTTCGTTTCTGGCCTCGGGGATTACGATCCAGGGATCTGATGATGCTACCAACACCCGGAGGCGCTTTCCACTTTCCCACCACCACCCCCCTGCAGAAGTTCGCCTGCAGGTTGACTAGCTGGGGTTGGTCGGGTAGTCTCACCCGGGGATTAAGACCGGCATATACATGCAGGTCTCGTTTTTTTGCGCCGGGAAACCCGCGGTTCGCTATATCCGTGCCTTGCAGACCTGGCTCGATTGACCGGTGGCTAAAAGGAACCTGCAAGGAACCGGTGGATCGGCGCGGAAATTTTTGACGCTGGTGAAGCCAAGGATTTGGGTCTGCAGATTTGAGGATTAATACTGGCCTTAGTTACTGTTGCTGTAACTAACTATTGTTTAGGTTACAAACTCTAGAATAAAGACCAACAAGATAGCTAAGGATATTAACATAGAAATTATACATTCACAGTGCATGGCTGCAACCCATTGTTTTGACGCAAGCAACAAAGATACCAGACAACAAAACCTTGACATCATACTTCGCAGCTAGATCGAGCAAAGGGAGCTAAGCCATAAACCTAGCTGAGACAACGGTTTATTATGATAATTAAATCGCCACAAATTAGCAAAAAGTGAAACCGGTGATACCCTGGAATACCTAGCTTCGTTGTACGGGACAACGGTTCCCTCTAGGTAGGGAGTCAAAAGAAACGAACTAGGGATTTGAGAAAAAGGTTCGCGTCTAGATTCCGGCCCTGAAGGGACAGAGGAGGAAGTGGCAACTGCATTCCGGCTCCTTCGGAGAATACCTGAATCAAGGGGTATTCGAGTAAAGTAACACACAAGCACCTGGGAATATATTCATTTGGTGCCAAAGGCCCGATGATTAGATTTACAGAGTAACATTCAAAGATTTACTGTAATGTGACATTTGTGGTATTGACTCATGTCTTGAGAGATTTTTGGGATCTCAGTAAATTGTACTGGTCCCGTGACTTGCGTAGAATCTGTAATAGAGACAAACATCATAAGGAGAGTGAGGATTAGCGAGGATGAATGATAGACAGCCGTTGACACGAGCATAGTTAGATGAAATAGAAAAAGCAGGGAATCGAGACACAGGTCATCAAAGAGAGAGGGCGGGTCGGGTACAAACAAGCCCGAATAGACTCAAAGCGCGGAAACTCCATTTTAGAAAAGCCAAATCAGATAAAATCAGTCATAGTTCAAAGAGGGAACAGAGCGGAAAGCTCAAAATAGGAAGCGGGTATAACGAACTGCAGAAAGTGCCTTGTCATAGGACATCAATCAGTTCATTTCATAGCAGCATTAGTTGCATATCATCATTGACGCAGTGTAAGAGTTGGCATGATTTCCCAGCAGGATGGCGGGCTCATAAAATCATGGAGAAAGCGGATCCATGAGGAAGGACAAGAGAAGGAAATTCAAGTCATGGCGTTATGGATTTTCATCACCCAATTGTGGGATCGTTGATCACAGTAAGGCATTATTGCAGTAAGACAAAGGAAATCATTAATATCGTGTTGGACAAGTGACCGTAGCTTTTTGTTATCAGACGGTGCGCCGAGCTTAAGAACCAAAGAAAGTAAACCGTAGAACTCCAATCATGGGCGGTTAAAGGACGAATTTCAAATGAGAGTTGGAAAACCCGTGGTCGCTATAGCGATTTACCAGGTCGGGGAGGTGAGATATCTCCGTGGCAGCCAAGCACTCGCAGTGACTCCCAGACTCGTTTATAGAGTGGGGGACGGGCCAAAGTCAAGCTGTGCATGGCTTTGTCGGGTCGGTCTTCGCGGCAGTAGGTGCACACCTTTTCCCGTTCAGCACACAGAGCGTCCTCAGGGGAATCAGACCTATGTCGTCGTCTGGATTTGGCCTGGATCGCTGCAGCAGTTGATCTATCAATGTCATAGTTCCGAGGCTGGTTGTTGGTGGTACCGCGACTGTTAGCGCGGGATCGAGGAGTTCGCGGTCGTACAAGGGATGTGGTAGAAGGGGCAACGAGACGCAGCGTTTGCTGGGCGGTTGGGCGAAAAATGTCTTTTGTCGAGCAGGCTTGCACCATGGTCCTCATGGATGAAGGGGTGTTGTATGTCGGAGGGGGCTCTGGCATCGAGGGGAATTTCTCCAAAGGCTGCGGGTGATTCGATGGGGGAGCATTCTGAAGCTTGGGCGCCGACTTGGCAACTCGAAGATGAACACGACTGCGCACTTTTTTCAGAGTGTCGATCGGGTTTTTTGACTTTGTGTCTGCGTCTTCGTTATCCGAGTCGGACTCCCACACTGACTGTTCGGGGTACATTTCGGAGACGGAAGTGGAAGGTCTATCTCTACCGGAGAGAGACACACTCGTTATGGGTCGGTCGGCCTTGTCAAACGATGTTGTTGTGGAGCCTGGGCTGGGAACAGGGCTGGGGCAGTCATTGGCTGAGATGAATAGTGCTTGGTCGAAGTGAGACGTATGTGGCTCAAGGGTAACCGGATTGATCAGACAAGGAGGGGAGATCATAGAGGTCTCAATTGGGGGCCTGCTTCCAGGGTTGGTGCCCCTTCTGTTTGTTGGTACATTCGAATTGCGTGCGCTGTTGGGAAGGGAGGGTAATGGTTTCCCACGGTATGAAGGAGAGTCGAGACTGTCTCCCCGAGGCATGACAAGAGTGACCGATGAGTCGTTTGATATCGCTACTCGTTGCTGAGGGTCTCGGGATGGAGTTGACGGCTGGGAGAGTAAAGCAGTCTGGGAACCGTTCAATGGTGTGGATGACAAGTAAACCCGATTAGTGGGGTTGACTTGCGTCCCAAGACTGGTCTGGGACAGATGCTCCGTTAATTTGTCAACAGTGTCTGGATGAAGGTGACCAGAGTAGTTGGAAGAAAAAGAGCTGCTGGGAGTCAAGTCGGGTGTAGCGTCCGTTTGAACAGAGCTGAATGAGCTGTGGTTGTGGTGAAAGGCTTTCGGGACACGAGATTGTGCTGTAGCCTGCTGAAGGCCGAGTTGGTGCTCCAGCTCGACAACTGACAGCGTGGATCGATTGATATTAGTCCGAGATCTAGCAGTGTCTCCGCGAAGGGTCGTAGAAATGGGAAGCTCTTTGCCGGAATTCACGGTGGGTAACATGAAATACTGATTTGCCTCTTCACTAAATCTAACATCGCGTATTCCACGCCGTAGAGAGCCCCAAGAGGCGTCGTCAGCGAGTGAGTGCTCAAGATAGAACGGGTCTGGATTCGACTCGTCGACTATTTCCGGGCCCTTAGTTGGATAGTACGAGGATGCTCTCTTCGGAGGATGCGACGGCGTCGGCTCACAAACAGCTGTTTGTGACCTGTTTCGTCCTTTATGGAAAGCGTTGAATTCGCGGGGGGAATATTGGTATCCGGTGGCCATGGACTGAAATTATTGCTGCTTACAATGCTCTGGGCACTTGTTGTATTTTTGTTATTAGGGACGCAAAACGTTCACCAAAAGAGTGAGGTATATGGGAATCATGGAGTATTGGCAGATGGAGATAAGGAGAGACAGGATGGAGTGCTTTGGGAGGAATGACCAGGGTGAAGGGGATATGTTTATACATGCTCTGCCATAAAAACAATGATACCTCTCTAGCTAGGAACTGGGGCTGACCCAGTGGATCGGTGGCTAGGCCGCGGAGGACAGCCGACGCATGCCAATGTACAATGGTGTAAACAAAGCTCAGGCGTCCGAGAGCACAGACACCAATGACCTATCAGACCTTACATCCTCCCCTTCCGTAGGGATGGCTATGTAAGGTGCACAGGGCATGGAGACTGGAGCAAGGAGCTCCGGAACCCGATCCGCCCAGCTAAGCACAACGCGGGGTGCTCAGATCTACCAGTACATAATAAAAGACTAGCACTGGTCGCGCACGCGACAACAGCCCTTCGGCGCGTCTATCTAGTTGTAGCAGAGAATAAACACGGAAGTTGTCGATCGCCGATGTCAACCGTCCCCGTTCTGATGCAAGAGCTGAGAGCTCCTCTGTAGGAGGGCTGGGCCAGAAACTTTGTCTGCCAGTAGGGGCATTCACTGGGAGATGCGCTCCTCTGATTAAACTTTTCATGAAACTGGTGAATGTCCCATAAACATATTGTTCATGCGTCACCGAACGGACTCGATCTTGAAGGCACTTACTCCAAAATTAGACTTGGTCTGAAGGTGTGGCAAAATGCATACAATAATAGATCATCTGTCTTTCAAAACATTCACAAACGTTCTGAAAAGTCTTGGTATTTAAGTCGTGGTGATCAATTACTCATTCTGAGATATCGAGCCTCAGCGACTGCCAAGGTAGGACGCGGTAAAGTCTACGCGAATACCTCCTAGGATCCTTCACCAATGTTGGGAACTGGAAAGTTTTCGCTGGGTTGCGATGGCGGCCGATCATGTCGATCATCGTCCCTTCGAGACTGGTCCTATATCTCCATTAAAACTTCCCCTGAAGCCACCAAAGGTATACGGAGGAGGGGGCGACCAGCGCCTCCAAAAAGCCACAGCGTCACTGCGAGTGTAACCCTACCATGAAATAGAGCCTTTCTTCTCCCTGTCTATCGTTATAGCTCTCCTGCTAGTCATGTAAAGCGGCCCTGCATCGCCCTGCAGGAGTAACACATGTATTCCGGTTAGACCCGCATTCCAGAATCGCGACCTGGTTGCCAGGACTCTATGGTTGCAATTTAGAGCAGAATGGAATTCCAAACCCTCACCCCGCTTTTCAATAAAATCTCTGGTTGTGCTTGCAAAGCGTCTGACCGCTTTTCAACGGTTCTTTTCGAAGAGTCGGATTAGTTTTCAAAGGTCCACCTTCCAGTCTTGTAAACCAAGTTCACATGAGGACTTGTGCCTATTTGTTCGTCTAATAAAGTGAACTCGGTTTGCTTTCGTATTCAACGCCGCTGTTCTACCGTAGAGTTGCATTGTTGCAGGAGAAGTTTCTTTAGAAAGGGTCAAGAGAAGGGCCCCGGCGAAATCTTGTTTGATGATATTCCTATCCCATGCCGGATATTCAAGTCTAATCAATTGCGCCTTCACATCCACCTGTGGGGATGCGGATTAAACGCATTCATTTTCCCAAGCAGACCTCGTATTCTCCGAGGTCGGGACATTTTGTTTACCTCGATTGGGCTAGACGCCCCTGTCCTAGGTGATACGTCGAATTGTCTACCGTCCCTACTGTAGCATCGGTATACGGAGGACTGTTGGCAGTGGACTTCAGTAATAATGCAGTGCGTTGATTCTAATCGGTCAGCGACCGAAACGTGGTGTGGGACGTAGATAGTGATTTTTCAGACCTCCGAGGAAGCAAAGACCTCGCATGGCCCACATTCCAATCCTGCAACGCTGCAGAGTTTGATAAGTTATCCGATGGGTTTGGTGGTTATCGAATCTGGACTGTGAATCTGTACCACGACGCACTACATATAAGCTAGTTTAATGTGGCCGTTGATGTGTGCATGCCGATCAGATATGTGTGCAGAATCATGCCATCTGTTCTCAGAGCCGATTCCTGGTAATATTCTACTTGAGAAGCACATGATGCATCGAGTCGGCGACCAAACCCACTCCCAACGGGAAGCCCATCCAGCTTCCGTCGGGACGCACGGGTAGGTTCTGCAAGGTGGTACTAGACGAGAAGCCCGTCACATTCTTCAGACTGCAAGATCGCTTCCCAGGTAAATTTTTTTTTATATATCTAGCCGTAAATGATATCTTTGGCGCAGGGAGCGTTTAAACATCAATCTAGAACTTATATGAGGCCACTAATTCACGGTACTCGTGAGGTGTCCTCAGTTGCTGCGCAGGTATGCACAATGCCCATAATCCAATTTGCAGAAGAATAGATCGGATCCATTGATGGTATGACAGTAGCAGGCAAACGACTGGTCAGAAAGGGCCGACCAGGTACCTGGACATATGGCTTGAGACACGCTGCAAGGAATTTCGATGTGTTTGAAACCGGAACGGTTGGATGCGTTTCCCAGAACTCAGTTTATACCCGAGGCGATGGTGGCCCTTGCTGTTACTGGTTCTCAGCGTTTTCTTGTTATGCGCCTTCGTTCTCGACCTTATTTCGTTTAATTGCACGACGGAGGTTGCTCGAGGTGTACCTACAAACCAAACCAGACTGTCGAGTTCGGCGAGCGGGCTGTTTTCCCTCGTTTCCGTTGAGTTGAAGTTTACGAAATTGAATATGCACTGTGATGAGCAAGGAAGAAATGAGTCGAGTTCTGCACATCGACATTTAAGCGGTTGTGCGACCTTGGAAAGGACGCGACCTACTCCATAGAGGGTCCAATGATACACTAAGGATAAATTAGAGCCCATCCGTGGATGGGCCGCCAAGTCAGTGCGCGATTGGGGCGAGCCAGATCGAGGGCCTGTGGGGTACACCTAATGGTTCGTTCCATAAACCGATGAAACAAATTAATGTTATTCAGGCACAAGGTAAACCGGATAGACTGGAGTTTTTCTAGCGGGCCTCGAAGAATATAGACATTGAGGCCAAATTTTTATCGCAGGCCAATTCCGTGTCAAATCAGACCATCTATTATTAACGGGAGACTAGTCCATATGTATGAATTGGCTGCGGCCCAAATTGTGTACCATCCAGGGGGCTGCCAGCGCATCAATGGGCAGGATTCGTCGGCGATTGGTAGTTAGTAGGTGCGGGCAGATCCAGAACCACAACTTGTATTCACGATGCTTCGTGTCCTTGCCCGATCGTTTAAATGATGCATGGATGGATTGTTGGGTTGACGATCGAGGGTCCAAGATAAGGCCATAGTACGGAGTATGGCATGAATCATGTCCGGTAGTAGTCCGTATGTACCTAATGGTTCAGTTATTTCGGTAACGATCAGAGTATACCCACAGTATACCCACGATGAAAAATCGATAAAAGGAAAAATCCATTGAAAATCGAAAATCAAGGATAAAAAGCAAAGCATGTCGGCGGCCGAGCAGCAAGACAGCAGCAGCCGAAGGACAGAAGAAACAGAAAGAAGAAGGGATTATCGAAAAGTGATCGATTGGCCGAGCCCCCGTGATCTCGCGCCGCCTTCCCTCTGCCCCGTCGCTTCTTCTCCTTCGCCTTTTCTGCCCAGTTGTCCGGTCGCTAAACTACAGACGGATTACAGCTGGCAAGATATTTCCGGCCATTGAGCTCTGCAGCTCCGGTCAATGACTGCTACGAGCTAAGGAATCAAATGCTCGTGGCGGTCTGAAAAGGACTGGGAGCTTTCAGGTACGTTAGTTACGTTCGTTGTCCCAGTCTGTGTGCCCCAGCTTGGTCTCTCCCAGCCATCGCATTTCCTCTCTCACCCCCATTTGACCAGCCACTGCGTCCGCAATTCTCTCCCTCATTTTTCCTTCGCTGTCTCCTCTCTGAAAATGTTCTTTCTTCTTTTCGTCCGTTGTCTCTTCTAACCTCGACTAATACCCACATTCCATTCGGTTACTGACCGACCGTTATTCAGAGACCGGCTTGCCTTGTCTCTTGATCCAGACTCTCGTGCCAGCTGGAATTTCGTTCGGCCACCTCATTCCAACCCCCTCTGACGTCGAACTGCCCTATTGACAAAGCACGTTCACGTCTGGTGTCACGTTGTCTTCGCAATTCACACCGTCTTCCCAATTCCCACATCCAGCGGTGTCTCCCCGTACCCACGGCGCATCTGACGAGACCAACGAAGTTTACGACCCTCCAGCGCTTACGACCACTCCGCGGCAACGCCAGCAGCAGGCTGCTTACGACCCTGTCCCCGTTACTTCCCGCCATACTCCTCCGCGCCCTTCCAGTGCTCACGGAAGCATTCGTTCATTGAGGCGAACGCCTCGTCTATCTCAAACCCGACCTGCCTCGGTAGATGGTTCAGGATTCCCGGCTCGGATAGAAGAATCAATCCCTGTCTTGGTACAACCTGCTTCACCGCATACCGCTGGAATCTCTGGGCTACGTCCAGCACTTTCGGAAGCGCAAACCGAAGACGACGACGAGGACGACTATTCAATACTCGGAACTAATCCCCACCTACCCGGTCGCTCGTACTGGCCCCGTAGATCCACCCGTGTTGAGCCAACTACAGCGTCCGCAATTCTTTGGGCGCTAGAAGAGGCCATTCGAAAACCGGTTCCTTTTACGTCAGATTGGGAGGAAGTGAATGCTTCCATGTCTGAATTGGCAGGTATCCCTGGATCAACAGGGTTCGGAGGAAATGGGCGGACCCAGAATGGAGCTTCGCGGGCTGCACAGGGCCCTGTGCCTGTAAACCCTCATCCAGCGAGTGGTGTCAGGACCCCGACCGACATTATGCGACAGCGTCGCGATCGGGAAGCTCGCAAACGGGCTGAACAGGAGGCTAGGGACAGGGAGCAGGAAGAAGCTGAGCACCAACAGGAAGCACGGGACAAGGCGCAAGCCCCGCCTTATCCTGCTGGCGTTGCCGGAGACAGGACTTCGCAGCGGAGAGCTGCGGCTCCTAGAGCTGCTGCAGGACCGGAAGTCAAACCAGACCCACGTAGTGCAATCCCCGCCGGCCAACAACCCCCCGGGCTGTCGTCTACCATTCGACGCCCTACAACACAATCTCAGGCACCAGGACCGCAGTCCCAGCAGGAACCAGTCCCACAGCAACAAATGCCTCTCCAATCTGCCCCAGGTTTGTCAAAACCACAAACACAGGCACCTCCATCTGGCCAGCCTGGTGCTTCCCAACCACAGCAACAGCCACGTCGCGTCGCTTTCCCCCACGCATTCGAACGCTGGGAAACCCTGTCTTCTCACTGGGAAGGACTTACTGGGTATTGGATTCGAAAGCTCGAACAGAACAACGAAGCATTGGAACGTGACCCTATCAGTCAGCAGATGGCCCGTCAAGTCACTGACCTTTCTGCTGCTGGTGCGAACCTATTCCACGCGGTCGTTGAGTTGCAGCGTTTGCGAGCGTCGTCCGAGCGAAAGTTCCAGCGGTGGTTCTTCGATACGCGCTCGGAGCAAGAGCGATCGAAGGAACTTCAGGCTGACCTGGAGCGGCAGCTACAGACGGAGCAGCAAGCTCGCGCTGAGGCATTGACGTCGTCGCAAAAGGCCGAAACTGATAAACTCCGGGCCGAGAACTTGCTCAAGGAAATGCGCCGGGAGCTTCAGATTTCCAAGGAGGAGGCGCGTCGGGCGTGGGAAGAGCTTGGTCGCCGCGAACAAGAGGAAAGGGACCGAACGAACTCCCTTCGAAGTGGGGAGCCCACACTAGTTGGGGGAGTCCAGGTAGTGCCCATGATTCAGGGTCTTCCAAACCGCCAGAATTCCTCCAATCGTTCCCAAACCCGACCCACCTCCTATCATGGCGGTGAGGGTAATGGGAAAATCGGGGTCACTACCCCGGAAGGTCATTATTACGACGAAACCCCTATATCGCCCGCAGACAATGATCCCTTCCAAGAAGCGCGCGGAGTTTGTCAGGAACTGGAGGCGCCGCACCCAGGCCCTTCCCACCCCCCGGTGACTACTACTGCAGAAGCACCGGGACACTACAGCGGCAGTTACTATGACCAAGGAAGCGCGTACCAAAACCGCCCGTCTCCCGAGAATGATGATCGCTCCTACGTTGGTAGCAGTGAGCCGGGCGAAGAGGAGTTTGGTGGCTATCGACGCAACCCTCAAGGACGTCCAATCGTTTACCCCCGGCCCATGTCGGAGGAGAGCGACGAAGGATCAATGGACAGCGGCGATCGTGGGTACATGACGAGTACCATGCCTCCAACTTCAGGGTCGTTGTATGCCCCTAGCTATGGCCAGAGCGGCTCCGTGGATTACAGCGGCTCGGGGTGGGGTGGTGACTCTGGGTGGGAATCGGTCACTCCTCGCCATCGTCATCCGACGCGCCTCAGTGATGTCCTCGAGGAGGAAGAACCTCGGACAACCCCAAGCCGCGCCAGTCGTGCCAGTCGTGCCAGTCGTGCCAGCCAAGCCAGCCGAAGTGTACATTGATCAGTTGAATATGGCACCTCGTATGTCGTAATGTTGCGGGAAAAGTGCAATTTGTCTCTACTCTATCTCCTTTTGTTTGTCTTCTTCCATTTCATTATTCCCCATTACGCTCCAGTCGAGATGACAACTGCATTGCCTGGTATTTATTCTTGTTTCTTGCTTTATTATGTCTTGTTATTTCATCTTTATTTCTCTTCTCTGTCTCATTATTTACCTCGTGTTGCATTTTCACCTTTGAGACAGTGCTTATGACTAGGGGATTTCTTGCGTTGATATGTCTATTTTTGACTTTCGCCAATAAACCTGCACACGAGAAGTATGGTAATTATTGTAATTCTAGAATCTATGAACTCGATTTCTGAGGGATTAAAAGTGATACTTTCTTCGTGGTAAAATAACTCCAGATATACCCTGTAGTAGCTCAACTCACGTGACGTAGGTGTGTAGCCCGGATAATCAGGCACCAAGCTAAACCCCGTCTGGACTTGGAGATCCGGACTCAAGCCACCAGGCTCCTCGGCGCAATCTCCAACACCGTCTTTTACCTACCCTCCAGCAAGTCGGCTCGCTCGGAAATCCCTCAATTTTCGAAAATGGCCTCAACAATGCGACCACTCACCCGGCTGATCGGCCGTGCCTCGCGCCCACTCGCCCACACCGTCGAAAATACGACACCGCGATCCATCTCATCTCAAGCCGGTCTTCTGCACTCGCTCCGAACCACCTCCACGCCAATTGCGATCCCCAGACTCAATGGCCCGTCCTCCCAGCGCTCCTTCACATCGTCGAGTCTGCGTGCTCGAGCTCGCACTATGGGCCAGCTGCGCGCCCGGAACTCCACGGGGCCGTTTTCATGGAAGGCCGCTCTGCTGTTCGTCATCACCGGCGGAGGTATGATCGTTTACTTCCGCGTCGAAAAGGAGCGTCTGGAGCGGAAGCGCATTGCGGAGATGAGCAAAGGCGTGGGAAGGCCGAAGGTCGGCGGACCTTTCGTGCTGAAGGACCTGGATGGCAAGGAATTCACGGCGGAGGATTTGAAGGGGAAATATAGCTTTGTTGGTTTCCCTTGACTTTTCTTTCTCTCCATACAACAGGGGATGATACGATTCGATGACTATCGAATTAGGCTATCATGAAAGCTCAAAAATACTAATCAATGAGCCAATCCCAATAGGTCTACTTCGGCTTCACCCATTGCCCCGACATCTGCCCCGACGAGCTAGACAAAATGGCCGAGATCATCGACGGCGTGAAGAAAGAGACCGACGGCGAGAATGTCTTCCTCCCTGTGTTCATCACCTGCGACCCGGTCCGTGATACGCCGGAGGTGCTGCGCTCGTATCTCCAGGAGTTCCACTCGGGGATTATCGGCTTGACGGGCACCTACGAGCAGGTGAAGAATGTGTGCAAGCAGTACCGGGTGTACTTCAGTACGCCGCAGAATGTGAAGCCTGGAGAGGATTATCTGGTGGACCACAGTATTTACTTTTATCTGATGGGTGAGTTTTCGTCTATCCTTGTTTTTTTAGGATACGAAGGATGGGTTGGTTGCTAACTATGCTGTGTGCGCTTTAGATCCCGAGGGTGACTTTGTCGAATGTATTGGACGCCAGGATACGCCTGAGTCAGCTACCAAGTTGATCATGGAGCATATCAATGACTGGAAGAGGGAGGGCAGGCCGCTGAAGAAAGATTAGGGTGTATAATCAAAAAGGCTTTGGCAGATATGTACAATAGAAAATACCCTCCTCGATGTATACCGCTGGGAATGTCATGTAGAATACGGAGCTCCAGGTCTCGCACCACTATTCGTGTCATCCACTTGTCGCATGTTCGGAGCCTTCGAGATCAATATATCACCAGACACGAGCAATATTTCAGCAAACACCCTCACCAATGTCCGCCGGCACTCCTCACACAGAGTCCTCCCCAACAACCTTCTTCCCCTCAGCATCCCTATCCCGATTCGCCCTCCACTCCTTCTCCCCATCCACAAACTCCTCCATTTTCCAAATCTCGGCCTTCTCCTTCACCAGCTCCAACACCTCCTCTCCGGCCCTCCATGCCGCCCCGCGATGGCCCGCACTAACCGCAATAACGATCGACGCTTCGGAGATCGGCACCGTGCCCAGACGATGCGCAATCACGATCCCCGTCAATGTATGTTTCTCGACCGCGTCGTGCGCGATCTTGTCGAGCGTCTTCAGCGCGAGCGGCGGGTACGCGGTATAGCTTAGTTGCGAGACGGGGCGGTCTTCGAAGGTGTCGCGCGTCGTGCCGAGGAAGAGCACGTTTGCGCCGGCAGAGGGGGACGAGATTCGGGCGAGGGCGGCGTTGGCGTCGAGGAAGTTGTAGGTTAGGGAGATGTGGATGTTTTGGGATGGGTCTTGCGTGGTGCGTGGGTAGGTTGTTGGGTCGAGGTGTGAGGGGATATCGGTGGTCATTGTTGCGAGGGTGTGTGGTTTAGGTCGGTTTGGAGGGGGGTGGAGACGAGGGATGGGAGGAAGAATGAAGGGGAAAAGGTTGAAGCTGGTAAAGGTAACAGTAAATGACGATGCTCGGTGAAGGTGAAGTGGGCTGTATAGGTGTGCTGGCCTGAGGCAAGCAATGTCTTATCGATGTGGGGGAAAGTCAAGAGTGGGGTTCGTCGCGATAGAAGAGTTAAGATTGACTGTCACCAAGCATCTAGACGGCTCTACATGAATTGTCAGACGGTCAGATCATTAAATTGGTCGAAGTGAAGCTATCTGTGCTGTTATACGAGGTCACCACTTGGTTTGGGATTAACGTACCTTTCATCCATGGACTTGCTACCAACACAACGCCTTCGAGCTCGAGTACCCAGCAGGAGAGACAATTCAATCCATTAAATCCAGAGAAAACTGATGAAAAAAGCAGGTTCTATCTGATTCTAGGGTTCTCTTTCTCAGTCAGGATCTGAATACTTGGAAGATGATCCTACAGACTTTGATCCTTACAAGGCCGATCCCCGTCTGGAGCTCGAATCCTGTTATGACGTCAACCCACTTCGTTCACCCTCAAGAGCATGGCACTCTACTTCCCATGTTGATTGTTACTTAAGAGACCTCTGAGCGCGAGAACTGACTTGTCAGAACCATAGCTGTCTGAGCACAGACACCACCTTCCAAACCGAGCTCGAATCCACGTCTCTGACCAGCCCCAGCGCATACACTGTGCACACCATGACCAGTCGAATGGCATCCGTGTCCCTCCATCATTTGGTCAACTCAACCTGTGGATCCGCTCGCTGATAAGTTTCACTGGCTCCGGATCATCCTCCTGACCCATTGATGGATGCCAATGGCGGTACTCCGTACTCCTTCCTTCAAGGTGGTCGCGAACAACGAGTCCACCGAGAATTTCTCCGCACCGAGTCCGACAATGCCCCGCGGTGGGTAGGATGCGATGCCCCTCTTGAAAACATCTCCGAGCTCAGTATATAAACGAACCTCTTCAAGCTACAACTCCGACCACCACCACAGATCACACCATAATAGACCACTCAGTTCGCAGCTATGGCCAAATCTGCCAACCAGATCCACCGTGCCTGGTGGAAGGAATCGTCCGTCTATCAAATCTGGCCCGCCTCGTTCAAGGACTCCAACGATGACGGTATCGGTGACATCCCCGGTATCATCTCGAAGCTGGACCATATTAAGAACCTTGGTATTGACATTGTCTGGCTGTGTCCGTCCTACAAGTCGCCCCAGGTGGACATGGGATATGATATCGCCGATTACTACAACATTGCGGATGAGTATGGCACGGTCGCAGATGTCGACAAGCTGATCAAGGGGTGCCATGACCGGGGCATGAAGCTGCTCATGGACCTGGTTGTGAACCACACGAGTGACCAAAACGAGTGGTTCAAGCAATCGCGCAGCTCCAAGGACAACGAATACCGCAACTGGTATGTCTGGAAACCGGCCAAGTACGACGAGCAGGGCAACCGCCAGCCACCAAACAACTGGGTGTCGCATTTCCAAGGTATGTTCTTAATGACACACTTGGGAGCATTGACTAGTATTGGAACTAACAGAAGTCGCTTTGATTAGGGAGTGCCTGGGAATGGGATGAGTTGACCGGCGAATACTACCTCCACCTCTACGCAACGGAACAGCCCGATCTCAACTGGGAGCACCCACCCGTCCGCAAAGCAGTGGAAGATATTATGCGATTCTGGCTGGACAAAGGTGCAGATGGATTCCGAATGGACGTGATCAACTTCATCAGCAAGTACCAAGATTTCCCGGATGCTCCGATCAAGGACCCTCGCACCCCCTGGCAATGGGGAGACAAGTGGTACGCCAACGGTCCTCGTCTGCACGAGTACCTCCAGTTTGTGGGAAGTATCCTCAAGGAATACGACACCTTCAGTGTGGGCGAAATGCCGTTCGTCACGGACACGAACGAGGTGCTCCGCGCCGTGCAGTATGACCGCAATGAGATCAACATGATCTTCAACTTTGAGCATGTGGATATCGACCACGGCAAATACGACAAATTCGAGCCCGGTAGCTGGAAGCTCACGGACTTGAAGGCGTTCTTCGAGAGGTGGCAGAAGTTCATGTATGAGAATGACGGCTGGAACGCCCTGTACTGGGAGAACCACGACCAGCCTCGGTCGATTGACCGATATTTGGGTGCCAGAGAGGAGTACCGCACCGCGGCGGGCAAGATACTGGCAACCGTATTGGCTTTGAAGTCGGGATCTCCTTTCGTCTATCAGGGACAGGAAATTGGAATGAGAAACGTGCCCATCGAGTGGGACATGGACGAGTACAAGGACATTGACTGTCTCAACCACTGGTATAGGTTCGTTGCCTCTCAGACATGTTTACCAACAAAAATATACTAACACCCTGACAAGACTTCTGAAGAACCCCAAGGCCGACGACACGACCAAACACATCGCTCGACAAGAGTACCAGAAGAAGTCGCGAGATAACGGTCGCACACCCGTCCAGTGGTCTCCGGAACCTAACGGTGGCTTCACCAGCCCGAACGTCAAGCCCTGGATGTCCGTCAACCCCGACTACCCGCTAGTAAACGCCGAGGACCAGGTCAAGGACCCGGCATCCATCTACCTCTACTGGGCCTCGGTGCTTAAACTGCGCAAGCAGTACCTGGACATCTTCGTGTACGGAAACTACGAACTGGTGGATCGCGATAGCCAGGAGATCTTCGCATACAGTCGTCAATATGAAGACCAGAAGGCGCTGGTGTTGGCGAACTGGACGGACAAGGAACTCGAGTGGGATGCTGCCGGCAATGGCATCACAGGCGTCAAGGACGTGCTGCTGAATAGCTACGAGAGTGCCGAGGGCGCTAAGAAGTGGGTTTCCACCGCCAAGTGGAGTCTCCGACCGTATGAGGCTATCGTTGTGCTTCTGTAGGCCTGGTCTTCATGACCATGACTGGGTTGCTTGCGGGCGCGACTTCTATATCAAATGCAGATAAAATTAGATAATAAATACTTTGATTCCACCGACTTTGAGCTCTTCAAATATGAGGACAGGAATGACTGTAGATATTTCATCAATTGATGCTGTCTGGAAAAGTGCCAGGTTTGCTAAACTGGACGGAGTTGGATAAGGAATCGAAAGCTGCTGCATCCATCCACACCAAATCCGGCGACCAGATCTAAAAATACTCCGGTCGGTATCAAAATGACAATCCTTCGTGCTATAACAGGCGGTAAGAGCTCAAATCCAATCAGCGTCAATAATTCTCGTGACCTGCGCTGAGAATAACAGATTTGAAACATGCTGCCATACATTACCGCTAACCCGTTTAGGAAACAGTGTCTACACCCCTTGAATGGAAGCGTCCGCATCTGCTCCTTGAATGCCACTGCATCTACACCAAGATCCAACTCGATGGCGCTCCACAGCAGTCCTCTTTGTCTAAATTGGAATATGGCATTCCGCCTACACAGGATGATTACGTTTTCGAACACCCGTCCATGCTCAATATGACTTTCCGTCGCAAGCCTAGCGGTGGCTTGCCACGGTTCCTATCCTGTCATATCATGTCGCTGCCAGAGGGGCGTGTCAAAAGCAATTCATATTTACCTTCAGACTTCAAACCGCAATTGCAAATCTCCCTCGTTTCAGAATATTCTCCCCTACCTTGGACCCATTGATTGAAGCATGACTGTCATCATGAGACGGTGGAATTCGATAACCACCAAGATCGTTGTCGCTGCCTTGTGCAGCTACGCTGTCTTCAGCGTGCTCCTCGGCAACAAGGAGGCCTACGATTCAACGCGAAACTTAGTCCGCGCCGGTCAGCGCCGACTGTACGGTTCAACCTTTGACCGCATCAATAATGAGACTCTTGGGGTATGGTTGACCATCATGAAGTATGATTCCCGGGTCTAACGTTTTTGTCCATTGTCTAGTTTGAAAAGATCTTTGCGATCGGCTTGAAGGAACGATCAGATAAGCGCGATTTCCTCACTCTGGCGGCTTCTGTCACCGATATCAAGGTCGAGTGGATAGATGGAGTCAAGCCGGAGACTATACCCGAGAAAGCGCTGCCGGAGGTTTGTGCTTGTGACTCTTCTTGAAGAATCCGGGCTAATGAGAACAGAGATACAATACGTCATGGCTGAAGCCTACTGTTGCTGGTTGTTGGCGCGCACATATGAATGCGATGCAAGAGTGCGTATGATGCTTTCTTCCTTGAGTGCCAACGCTAATAAGCAAATAGGATAGTCAACAATCGATACTCCACGGCTCTAATCTTGGAGGATGATGCCGACTGGGATGTTTCTATCCGACAACAGCTTCGAGAATTCGCTCAAGGGGTACGAACTATAACCGATAATCAGAAAGCACCCAGGGAAACGCCATATGGCACCAATTGGGATATCCTCTGGGTGGGAGGCTGCTCGGCTGGCCCCGGGTCTAAAGAATCCAACATCTACGCCGTCCCCAATGATCCCACTGTTGCGGCTGTTCGGCACCGTCGCAATATCTGGGGAGGGCCTTCTGAGACATGGAAGAAGAAGCATCCCGAATATCCGGAGGACTCGACGCGGTATATCTTTCGAGCACAAACGGGCTGCTGTACGTACGGGTATGCAGTGACTTACGAAGGTGCGAGGAGGATGATCGCCGCGTTGTCGCTGGATTATATGGACCTGGCGATCGACAACTCCATGAGTGATATGTGCGCTGGCAACCAGCGTGAACAGATACGCTGCTACGGGCCCTATCCGAACATCATCGGGACCTATAAACCCGCTGGCTTTGCATCGCGAGGGTCTGATATCGAGGTCTACAACGACGAGTACCACGAGGCCAGTTCTCACAATATGATCTATAGCACGAGAATGAATATCCATCGGCTACTTGCGGGGAATGACACGGTTTTGGGACAGTATGCCGACGAGAAGGATACGTGGCTCAAGGGTGAGGCCAAGATAAATGAGATTCAGTATCCAGCTGGTTGTCTCATTCCTTGAGCAAGCACTGTTGCATGTGACTGTTTATATTTTTTTTCAAGGCGAATTCTTTCTCTGTCATTATTATTCAATCAGATTATTAATAAGTTTACTCCCGGCTTCTTGAGACACCATGTCCCCAAGCCACCCTTTAAGCAGAAGCTAACTAGCAACACGAAATGAAGGACAGTATATTTCTCAACTCTATGACGAGCAGATGCCCATTTTTTCATTGAATTTTTATTATCTAATGAAATGTAACCTCTTCGTTGTCCGTTTTCCCGTAGGGTTGATGCAACACTTCCGGATGCGGAATAACTCACCCGCAATCGGTAGAGCCGGGGAGACAGAAACAGGAGATCTACAATCTACAATGACCCCAATCCGGAGGACTTCAGCAGGTCAAATGATCATGGCATTCGTCAAATCTCTTGCTCAACCATAGTGTTGTCTCTCTTCACTCGATACAACGACTTCAACCAACCACACTGATGACCTGTCGAAATTCGAGCCCCAAAATCAATCCACGGTTAGAAGCTTGCACACCAAACTAGGAACTCTTTATATCAGGTTCAGGAACAGGTTTCGGTAATTCCTTGTCAGCCATTGCTCGGGTAGCATTCAACGGCCCTGACAGCTGACACGTACGACGGTCTTTCTTGTTCTGGACTGGTGGTGATGTATGTGCTGCAACTCTGCTGATGTGGCCCAGTCCTACTACGAAGCATATATACACGCAGTGGAATATAGTTACCTGCGGTGACCTGCGGTGACCTGTGGCTCCTATACTAATGCATGTTGGTATGTCTGTGAATTGAACACACCGTCCCAACCAAACATGGTCTTCTCAGCACGACACGGGGAGGAAGATGACCCCGAGTCGGGTCAGCTTCTCAACAACACCAAGGAATACGATGATGAAATGGAAAAGAAAATTCCTGAAAAGACCGGGACTTCATCTATGCTCGGAGTGGCCATATGGACTATGGTTAATGTTATCTCAACGGTTGCCATTGTAAGCACTTTCATGTCCATAATCATTAGTTCCACATACTAACACAACCCTACAACGCAGGTCTTCACCAACAAATCCATCCTCACCGACCCATCCTTCCGCAACTGCCAGATCTCCTTCGCCGCATACCACTTCTTCGTCACAGGCGCCACATTATGGGTCGCCTCCCGGCCTTGGTGCGGCCTCTTCGTGCCCAAGGAAGTCCAGATCCGCCAAATGCTCCCCTTATCCGCCGCCATGGGCGTGCAAGTGATTCTCCAGAATCTCGGACTCGCCAACTCATCCGTGATGTTCCACCAACTCGCTCGTCTTCTACTCACCCCTGTAACCGCCTTCCTGAACTACATCCTATACGGCGCGCGGATCCCCCGTGCTGCCATTTCCCCTTTGATCCTCCTCTGCGCCGGCGTCGGTATCGTCACATACTACGACTCGCTGCCCAAGGATGACGGCAAAACCACTACCTCCCTCTGGGGCATCATCTTCGCGTTCTCGGGTGTCGGGGCCAGCGCTATCTACACCGTGTGGATTGGCTTCTATCATCGGAAACTGGAAATGTCGAGCATGCAGCTTCTGTTGAACCAGGCACCTATCAGCGCGGGATTGCTGCTGATTACGATTCCTTGGATCGAAACCCCGCCTGTTATGTCGTATGTGCCGAGCTCGATGTGGTTTTTGATTCTAACGGTATGTCTTCCGAGCACCCTGTATACATTCTATCATCATGGTTATTTACCAGGCTGGAATACGTAGTGCTGACAGAGTCTCAGAGCGGCGTGTGTGCTTGCCTCGTCAACCTCTCCGGATTCTATATCATCGATGCCGCAGGTCCTGTGAGCAGCACTGTCATCGGGCAGTTGAAGACCTGTGTGATTGTGGGCCTCGGATGGGCGTCTAGCAGCCATATCGTCATGAGCCAAAGTGTTATGGGTATTGTGATGTCGTTGGTTGGTATGGGACTGTAAGTTCTCTTTTCCAAAATATCGGATTTTACTATTGGGTGTTGGTGCTAATTCGTCGTGGCGTGTCATAGGTACATGAATATTATATTGAGGCAGCCTAATGTGAGGACATAACTTTGAGACTATATATTGGGGCGTGTTCGAGTTGGTTCAGCCCTGGACAGAGAAAAGAGACGTGGTTGGAGAAAGGGGGGTGATTTGGAGTATAGTACAGAGGATAATGTAATATTTGGGATGGAGTGGTATCGGAGCATTATTTGTCAATTTACTAGTCGTGTGTTATATTAAACTAACTATATCATAGTAAAACCACTTTATTGAACGTGATATCGCAGTTACTCTATTTCATTTATTGAACTAATAAGTAGTCACAATCGTCCCGGTAGGGCCATAGTATCGATCTACCCTGTTATTCTTAGAACTAGAGCCCATAACTTAACTATGCTGATAGGCTGACCGAACAATCCCCAATTTTGGCGTTTGACTGAATCATACTGCCTAGATTGATCATCGTGAACAAATGAGGTTCTCGGCGGAATGCAAGGAGAACCATGTTCTTTCCACCTTTCTAAGCACAGACACGGTAATCCTTCGAGGGCCGCTGTAGATTATTGTTATTCAGACAAATGAATTCAGATTCTCACTATCGATAATCCAGTGATACATCCACATGGAGTTTTCTGCCTCCGGTTTGAATCTCCTTCCCACATCATCCGAAAAGGCCGTATCATCACCACCACATTCCACACCCCTTTCTCCCTGGATCACAATACCTTATAAATCACAGCTGCATTCTGCACGTTCACCTGCAGATGCGGGGTCTTGCAGTGACTAGCAGGCACCTGGTAGTTTTTCCGATGTAGTAATTAAAACCTGGCGAATAGGATCATACGGAGTTGACCGGACAAGCAGTCGGTAAGGCGTGATCAACTAAATTCCATTAGCTCTATCATTAGCATCAACGACAGGCCGCTTAGTCCGGAGACCGGAGATCGGAGACGGGGACCAGTCCTTCTCGCAAGTGACAAGTTTCTCCTTGATGTTAATACTGGTGTCGATAATTCACGCGCTAGGGGCCGGGGATCATCCTGAATTTGTTTTTCTATGCATGCGACGAGCGGGCTGAGATGGGGCAGCTGAATATCGTTATTTCTTTTTTCATGACTGGATTTTCATTTGGGCCGAGGATGAGGGGTATAGATGGGGTTATAAATAGGAATCTAGTAGCCAGGTGGGAAATGAAGTCGATAAGGGTAGAGTCGATTGTTTGTTCGCGATGTTCTTGTCTTATTTAGCCCTGGGCGCTGCGGTTTTCCCGTCTTTCGGGCTTGCATTGACACGTCCGGTTCGGAGAAGTCGGATCCCCTAAGAGGCTCTTGCCATTTATATTCCTCATGCTAACTAGGAGGGGCATAGTAGATGTATCATCTTCTCTTTTAGAAGATTTCACTCGTTTCGCACAGTTCGCAGCGGCCGCAAACTGCGCAGCAAACCACAACGAGACTTCCCCCGGCTCAGCTGTCTACTGCGACGACGGGAAATGCCCTCTCGTGGCCGAATCAGACACAGAGATAATCAAGGGCTTTTGGGAGTAAGATGTCCCACTTCTTTCCTCCTCATAGTAGACCACTGCTAACAGCGGCACGACTAGATTTGAACCAGGCGACACGACAGGCTACCTAGCGCTCGATCGCACTCAGAAGCGCATCGTGCTCTCATTCCGAGGTACAACGTCTACCGAGAACGGCGAGACGGATCTGAAATTCCAGCATGTCGATGCCTCCGATGCCTGCACGGGATGTAAAGCCCACGAGGGATTCTGGGAGGCCTCAACCGCTGCGATCAAGAATCTGACATCGAGCGTTGAGTCTGCGGCCAAAGAGAACCCTGACTATACGATTACCCTGGTGGGTCATAGTTTGGGAGGCGCGCTTGCGACGTTGGGAGCCGTCTCGCTTCGTAATGCGGGCCTTACTGTCGATATGGTATGTTTGATATGATCCTTAGAGTTATGGTTCGAAACGAAGCTGACGGTAGGCAGTATACCTATGGCGCACCATCGGTAGGAAACTATGCTTTTGCAAAGTATATTACTGACCAGACAGCCGGAGAGAACTATCGGGTGACGCACACCCACGATGAGGTTCCCAAGGTCTTGTATCGGGCGTCGAGGGAGTGGCTGCTTCATCTCGTGGTACCGGAATATAGTCAGTCTTCTCCAGAGTATTGGATCACTTCGGATAACGGCGTCAAGCCGACTGTCTCGGACATCGAGGTGGTTGAAGGTGTAAATAATGAGGACGGAAATCTAGGTCAAGGTGGAATTACCTTGGATGCTCATGGGTGGTATATGGGGAACATGTCGGTTTGTGCTGATACATAGATGGATTTGGATACCTGTTTGGCGATTTTTGGATTCACTTGCTCGTTGGGTTATAAGTAATTTTGAGTCGATTTTAATAATTTGAGTATATGACACTTCACATCCGGCTATTTACAAGTCTTTAATGCCTAGAGCTTGGGAAGACTTGGCTCTGGGTCGACGCAGGAATGCTAATTTGTTAGAAGCACCGGCTAACCCTTCTAGAATGTCATCGGGATGTTAAGAAAGATCATACATCAAAGCTATCCTGACTTTGATTCCTATATGGAGTTCAATTATGCTGGGGAAAGTAGACTAAGAACATGGATACGAAAATGGGCATTACAATTGCCTAGACAGGTTACATTGATGTCCGACAGGGTTTAATATTGTTGTTTATCTTGTACGACATCAAGCAATTGAAGACTCAGCCCTAGTTCAATGAGCACCGATGTATATATAGTCAGAGGTTTTCGCAAATAATCAATGAATTAAAGGTTCGATAGTCCCTAGTTCCCTGCTATGCAATCAGCCTCATCTCTTTTAACAATCCCAGTCTCTCCTGCGTGGCTCTCCCTTGAATGGATAGTGCTAATTCAAAGATCCTCACTGACCACAACAAGAATGTATGTCCTTGCTGCACCTTATCTATAAGACCGAATGCCTAGGCCTCGAAGGGGTGGTCTTCCCCATCTCCTGATGGCTATAAAATCATCCACCCATGCGTCGGTCCTGTCTGAGTTTCCTACCCAGCTCATACCTGTCCTACTCCCTGTCTGATTACTCTAATCAATTCGATACCTACGAGTTTGGTTCCATTTCACATAATGAGGTTCATTGGTTTTGTTGCGTTGCTCTTCGCAGCCCTTGGGGCTTCGCATGCTATTGATTATGCTGGTGATGAGAACGGCCTTACCCATTCCACCCAAGGTTGTTGAGTTCTCTATATCTTCTTTTGTTGGACCGCTTCTCCTTCCTAATGTAGTTTAGTGTGTCATCTAATCCACACGGTAGATAGCTCTCTCGCAGCTACGCTGCATCTTTAGGAATTCAAGCATCTTTCTCATCTTCATCGCACCGCGATCCTGGCATCTTTCATTTTCACGCTTCATACAACTGACAGATAAACCCACAGATATCTCTCTGTCTACCACAGAGGCTATTGAAATGGTCAATAATGACAACAAGCCCCGAAATAACGACGACGTGGTTAACAATGCTTCTCTGGGCAACACAACTCCTGTTGAACTCGAACGTGACGAAGACAACGATGACACAGAAGAGGATGAAAATATCCTGATTTTTTGGGAAATCGGACGCAAGAAGAAGTGCATAACTGCTAGAGACTGTCCATTCGATTCTTATTGCTGCTTCGATGGCAGGCACTGCTGTGCTAAAAAGAGCAAGTACGATATTTCTTGGTTCAAGATGTGGTATTGACCCGCTTGAATGGCCGTAGAAAGATGGATTGTCTCTTTCTTGTCTTTTGGTTTTTTCAATCTCTCTCGAGATCCTGGCTTGACGAGGTTTTTCTTTTCAGTGGGCACGATTTGATATCTAGGTCTGGCGTTATTTTTCATCGCGTATATTTCAATGGAGGGTAAATGATGCTTGAGTTTACTTACTTCGGGTCCTGGATTTATATGACAAAATATCATCTACATTTTGTATTAAAAGCCCTTGTGACCTCTCGATGATTCATCCTCGAAGGGGCAAAAAGTGGCCGGCTTTGTAATGTTGGAAATATTCAATACCACTCGATTACCCTAGACTTGACATATATATCTAATCACGCCACATTTATTGGCTGAAACCGATCAAGCGAAATCGACGCTATCAACGGCCCCATGAAGATCCATCTCCACCTACCGCAACGCATATTGGTCTCGCGTCAGCCGTTCTACCTTGATGGCCTGTAGACATTGAATTCCCTTGGAATCCCCCTAGGTATGCCTAAATCACTTAGTATCCAGTCTCTTAATAGAATCGAGGATATCTGACTGGTCAATAGGCGGTGATGGCCTCTGGGGGAAGTGTGCATTGAGGGTCTGTGTTTTGGTCAAATTGTAACCAAGTCGGCTTCTCAGCCTCTTGTCTACATACGATCATTGACAAAAGCCAACGTTCAAGAGCGGAAGGAATAAAATTGGAAACATTCTCGCAGGATTCTGACCTATCAACGTGTGAACTGATGAGTTCTGACTCAAGGGCGTGTGTCGATTACGCTTAGGGCAAAATATGTGGCTTGGCACTTATAAAGCCTACATGCCTATAAGGCTATATGAGTAGCATATCTACTGAGTATCATTGAACAAGGCCCTTCCTTCCCCTGCTTTCACTCTTCATCCTCTCAGCAAAATGTTCTCCATTAGATTCCGACCGCTTCAAGGCGGCAGTATGCATTCTCATTCCTTCCTCCTTGCCTCAAGCCTCGTGACTAACCTTCAATTCTCCCAGTTCATTCTGTCCAAATTGGCCGAGTTAGTATCTCACAACAATGTACACACCTCCGCATATCATCGAGGAGGTGAGCAGTCTCCGAGGCCCCTTCCTGAGCCATATCCCATGATCTAAACGTTATTTTCTTTTCTCCTGCATTCAGACTCTCTTCACAAGTAAACAAACCAACCGATGCCGGAAGTAGTCTAGCACAACAACGTCTACGGCGTCCTGTCTCTCCCCATTTTTCCATCTACCGTCCTCAAATAACATGGGTGGTCAGTATAACCACTCGAATCGCCGGCATCGCTCTCTCGGGTGGAATGTACCTCTTCGCAACAGCCTACCTCTTATCGCCGGTGACCGGGTGGGACATCGGTTCTGAGTCCTTAACAGCTAGCTTCAGCAGCCTCTCGCCTGTAACGGCTTACGCGGTGAAATTTGGAGTTGCTCTTCCATTTACGTTCCATTGTTTCAATGGCGTTCGGCATCTTGTTTGGGATACTGGTCGCGGATTCCTGAACCAACAAGTCAATTGGAGTGGGTGGGTGGTAGTTGGGGCTTCTGCGATTGCTGCTGCTCTTTTGGCTGCTTGGAAGCCCAGCGATGATGCATGATAGGTAAGGTATTCGATATTGTCTATGATTTAATGTAAAGGTCAGAAAATGAATTTTTCGCATTGACCGTGGGAGTTGTGCACCAGGACTCGGGAGGAATTGGAATCTACTCTGTTCTCTGTTTCTTCTTTGTTTGACCAAGGGTAGCTTTTGCTTCAAGAGAAAATAGAAGCTTCAATATTGATAATTATGTCATTTTTTAGGGCCATATTTGGCTCGCGATTCAGCGAATCTCGCCCCTCTGACCCACGTTCAGCGCTGATTACGAATTTCTCGCCGGCATATTGTGAGACTCTTCTACAGACTATATTTGAGACTTGGTGCTGATTCGATTTATATCTTAACATGTCGGACTATAGTGGTACTTAATTCGCTCCATCCACCAGCCATTATACTTCAACCAAACTGGGTGAAGAACCTCCATGTCTCCGGAGGAACGTATGACTTCGTCGCACTATCTCCAATGCCACCATCATAGGGAGCCGCCGTATGGTTACCATCAAACGCAAGCCACCATACAGGATGATCCGAGCAGCCAGAATACTCTGTCAGGATATGGGTGAGACTTCCAGGTGGTGGCTCCGGGACAGCCGAAGGGACCTGACATCCATTAACAGCCACCCATCTATCTCTCATCTTCCTGCCTTTTTCAATCACCAAGACCCCGTCTTGCACCCCGTGCACGCCCATATACGCAAACGAATCCTTGCCTCCATCACACCCACTGACTTCCGCCCCTCCTATCGCAACACCTGCCCGGAACTTGTCGGCCAATGAACACCCAACTGAAAAGGTCATGCCGGCACCATAGCTCCATCCCGTGGCGAACACTAGATTCGGGTTCACGCACAGATCCGCCTCCAAGGCCTCGGTCAAGGCAGCGGTGAAAGCGATGTCTTTTCCTTGGATGTTGGGCCAGCCAGGCACCGTGCCCTGCGGTGCCACGAATATAGCACTGTTGTTGGCGAGCCGCTGTAGTCCGTAATAGGCGTATGTTCCAGTCTCGACCCATGCTCCTGTAACTATCTCTGTCATGTTGGATCCCAGAAAATGGAAGCAGAAGATAAGTCGGTAGGGAGTGTTGGTGTCGTAGTTTTCGGGGAGCGTGGTGTGGAATTCTCGCACTTCGCCGTTCACGGACATCTTGTGATAGCCGGTGGTTAGGCTTGGGGCTCGCCCACATCCGCGGGATAAGGATGAACCGTACACGGGGATGGTAAAGAGGGACAGGGCTACAAACGTAGCCAGCAGACGCGTTCGAGCCAACATTGTCAATACTCTCTGAGGGTGAGGCTCGGATGCTGCTGGTCTCGACGTTTTTTAAGAATCTCCCTCAAATTCTCAATAGAACCTCCATTTATCCCCAATGGAGCTTACCTATCGGCCTTTAAGGAGGGGTTTATGTTACGGTGACATTCTACGAGCTTACTCCCTCTCGGACTTCAGGGACAATCACATTATTGAATAGACTTTGCATAAGGTGACATGGCATCTTGGCAGCTCTGTCAGCCTTTCTATCATGATACTTGAGGAATCAGGAAAAGGATTGGCCATCTATAGATGTTACAGAGCCTAATCAGCCTCTCAGTCTTTCTGAGAAAAAGTCCATCATGGCATCTCAATACTCATATCAAGGCTGTACCCGTTGCCACGTTTCCTTGTTTGAATATCATGGATTATTTCAATGCCAGGGTAACCCTCGCCTTCCGGAAGTCAAAGTCTTCGGTATCAGATGCTTTATTATCTCACCTAGTGAGTGCGTTAAAATTTATCCATATCGTTGAACCAGGTCTCTCATGTCATTGAGCATCCTAAGTTTGGTCAGCGAGCTCGCAACATTTTTATCATGCAACATACTGCTCTCTTAGGGCTTCGTTCTCCGGGAATAAGGCAGATACGTGTGTGTTAAACCGACTGCTGACCATTAGTAAACTGTCACGGCAATTTCGGTACCACCATAAATACAGTTTATAGAGGTCTAACCGACCATCGTAGTCTTCCTTTGGGTCTGATATCTCGTTATATCGATGGTATGCAGTCAGGTATTCCGGTCCGAATCGGTTGCAAACTGGTCGCCATTGACCAAATTCATCTGCCACGAACATGTCAAACAAAGCTGCATTTAGTTGCTGACATCCAAGGCCGAACTCACATTCATTATGAGCATAGAAACAACAAGCGTCGAAAACAAGCGACTGGTTACTCGCCTCATTCACACCCGAATTGGCATACCACAAATCACCATGCACGAGGGAAGGCTTCACCGATCGACCCTCACTTTCCAATGGTCTCAATAGCCGCGGGATTACCTTCTCGAAGATGACCGGCACAAGAGCCTCAAACTCCGCATTAAACCCTTTCTCCTCAATCTCGCAATCCAGTGCCCACCGCATATTCTTCGCAAAGAACACCTCCCAGCTCCCCTCCCATTCATTCCGTTGCGGAATATTCCCACTCCACGTGTCAATGTGGAATCCGAACGCTCCATTCGGGGACTTACTCTCCCGATGCAGTTCTACCAACCGAGCGCCGAATTCCTCCGGCTCGGGCATCCCGGCCTTCATTTCCCGGTACTCACAGAGGAAGAAATGTGTGTAAGGTCGCTGTTCATAAGAGCCCCAACCTAGTGGTTTTGGTGCGAATGATGGGGAAACGGCGTGGATGGCTTTCATGGACTCGTACTCCCCTTGGACCATTTTCTGGCCGTCTTCTTTCGTGACGATTTTGATGAAGTAGGACGTAAGAGTGCCATTGGAGAGCTGGGTGTCAATTCGTCCAGTCTGTGTCCAGAAGCTGGTGCCGTGACGGGATGCCGAGAGGATTTTGCTTCCTCGAGGTAGTTCTGTTGATGTGTTAGGAGGGTGATGGGGTTTTCGAGATAGGGGGTTTACCTGCTAAGACACGAGGGTCTAGTGTTAAAAACTCTTCGTGGGTAGTGCCTCCCATGGCTGTGGACTTTTTCGATCAAAAGCTCTTCTCTTGATGCAGCTGTTTGGTGGTGTCGAGGACTTGATTGGAGGAAGTTGCCAGTGCTTCCGGCTAATTCGGGGGTTTTCCAGCATTAGATGTCAGTCAAATGGTGACAATAACTTGCTGAAACCCTTGTGGTGTTGCAATATCATTGACTTCTATTATGCCATGGATGTTGTATGCGCTTCCTCGAAGCTTTCTTTGCGAAGTCTTGAAGCGTCTCAGTTGCTGTCGATGAACAACGCCTCAGGCAACGAGGGGCACCTAAGCGCCCGCCTTTTTCTGAGTGGGTCATCGATGCTTGTCAGTTGTCTTGCTCCAACAGCATGCCATCTCCACGAACAACTCTCTTCTCCGGTAAATATAAAGCAGTTAAAAACTAATCAGTTCCATCTTTCCTACCAACTGCTGTTCCTCTCCTCTACATCGCACAATCCCCACGGTATTGGTTTTTCAGGCAATTGGATTAAAGGTTTCCTCCGGTATAGGGCCCTCAAAACTACTCACTCTGAGAACGCATGGCGAGTTCACTATGTCCTTTACGTATCACCCATGCATTGCAGCCGGAGACCACAAAGGCTACATGAAATATGCCCTCGAACAGGCCCGCCTGTCTCCCCCAGCGCCAACCAAGTTCTGCGTAGGCGCAGTCCTCGTAGACGCCGAGAAGAATGAGATCCTATCGACCAGATATTCAATGGAATTGGCTGGTGACAGGCCAGACGATCCAGGAAACACGCACGCGGAGCAATGTTGCTTGATCAAAGTTGCTGAACAGCACCATGTGCCGGAAGATCAACTTGCCTCGGTATCGCCGAGAGAAACGGTTCTATACACGACTATGGAACCGTGCAGTAGGAGATTGAGCGGTAATAGGACTTGTGTTCAAAGGATATTGAAGCTCAAAGATAGGATTAGAGTGATTTATGCGGGGATTCGGGAACCTGAGACGTTCATTGCTGAGAATACGGGGAGAAAGATGTTGGAGAAGGTGGGAGTTAAACTCGAGATGGTAGAGGGGATGCAAGATCGGGCTCTGGAGGTCGATACTTCTGGGCATTGACAACTGACACAGAAAATTTTGAGTATGTTCGCACTATGTTCACACTGTTGGAATTCGAGGTATTGGAAGCAGTATAATTTATCAAGAACTTCATGAATTCAAGTATAATTATCGGTATGATCGTCTATCTACATTGAAAGAGGCCTTATTTACATGCGAAATGCAGTAGTCAGCATACCGGAATCCTGTGCTTTGAATGCAGGATCTCGTTAGCAGGGAGATGGAAATCTCCGATATTCATGCGAATACTGGGATCTTCCACACACACGCTTCTCAATATTCTGAAGATATATTTCGGGATGGGTTAGAAACACCCAAGAAACACTCAAAACACTCAAGAGGTCTCGACAGCTCGAGTTCAGGAGAGACAATTACATTGTGGAATACTCGAGATAATCAAGCAAGTCATCGCTTCCTCGTCTACTTATACTTCCCGATTAGGAAAGCAAGGCTATTCCCAGGCGGTGAGGGATTCTGCCCAGCAACACTGGGGATCAGGCCGACTTCCGGGACAATCAACGAACTGACCTTATCCTTCCAGCTGGATGCTTCTTGATCATGTCTCATTTCCCTCCTGACGATACCGGCTTTACGCCGGGTCCACCGCGCCGGCCATATTCGCGCCGAGACGACATGGACAGTCGCATGTACGACGATCCATCGCCCTCCCGATCACGCTCGCCTGGCGGTATTACCATCCTCCCCGCATAGCAGCAAGGCGCGAATAACTTGAAAGCGACGTCTGAGCTCCTTGTCTTGACTCGGTGGAAAACTAACATTGTGTGTTGATCCAGAATTCGTGCGCTCACCTCCGCGAGGTCCAGCATCCGACAGGAGGGGTGATTACTTGAGCGAACGACTCGATTCCAGATCCCGTTACCGAAGTCGAGACCACGATGATTATCGGCGCCGGCAGTCGAGGTCACCTCCGCCTCGACGAGGGAGACCAGCGTACTGCGATCGCGACAGAGAAGGCTATCGCTCTCCCGGATACCACAGTCGAAGTCGAAGCTACAGTCGCAGTCGCAGTCGGGGCGATCGACGCGGCCGCCCGCACGGACAAGAAAGTCGAGAGATAATGATGGATGGATTACCGGTGGATATGGTGGAAGAAGACGTTCGGCAACTCCTTTCCCCTTTGAGGTTTGAGCATAAGCGATGTCCTGAAGAGGACTACGCTCTGTCTTGAATTAAAACGTTCTTCGTGGCAATAAGCTGAGATGTACATGTCGCCGGGTGGCTCCGGTCGACGTGCTGCGCAGATTACAAATGAGTTGAACGATGGTTATCATATTGAAGGACTAGACGAAGTGCGGGTGATTCGCGATCGCCAGACGAGTGAGTTTTGGTGTCTTTAATTGCTTGCATCCTCTCACACGGTTACAGAAATGTCGCGCCAACTGGGTTTTCTTCGCTTCCACAGCCTGAAATTTTCACGAGCGTTCTTTGAGAACAATTATCCGAATATCATTCTTTACGGCCCAAGCGCCGGCCCAAATGATCGTGGCACAAAAGTCCGTATCGCGTATAGTCGCGAGAGGGAGGACCGCGCTCGTGCTAGAGCCGAGGGTGACTGGACTTGTAAAATGGTTGGCATATACCTATTGAATTTGATATGGAACCTCAACTGACGATTTAGTGCGCTATTGTCAATTACTCAACCCGCCAAAAATGCTTCCGATGCCAAGCACCTCGTCCTGGTAGGTCTCTCGCACGTCCAGGTATGGTATCTGCTAACACAGCGCAGAACCCGGCCCTACAGGGCCCCCGGGAATAGCAGCTCCCAGGGTTAATAACACCGGTGATAATGATGCCGCGCCGGAGAACCAACCTTCGCAGTTTTTGCTGTTCCGAGGGTTGGAACCTACGGTCACTGAAGAACTTCTGGCTAAGGGTGTCGCAAAGCTTTATCGACCGGCCAACACCTCAGAGGGGCCAAGTGGAGGTCAGAAAAAGAGTGGAAAAGTTGCATCTACTACGGGGGATTCCAATTTGGGTGCTCGAGAGGGATCGATTCGTCGTGTTCTTTTGGTGAGAGACCGTCGATCGAACGAGAGTTGGCGCTATGGTTTTGCGGAGTTTGCCACTATTCAGGTACTTGAACATGAGAGATTCCGTTGCTTCTTCTGAGCTAATTATATCATAGGATGCCCAAGCTGCCACGGCACGTCTAAACTCTTTTGAGAAGTTTACCATCTCTTCAAGACCGGTTCTTGTTAGCTATATTCATGCAGGAGTGTTTGTGCCCGTGATAAACCCCACGGCGAGCACAGAACGATTCACTTTCAGCCCTCTGAATAATCCCTCGTTGAAGTTGATGTATTGGGATGAGGAAGCCTATGCCATGGAACTGACAGTGACGTCGGGGGAGGCAGATATGGACCAACCACCGGCCAAAAGCGATAAGCCCACCCAGCCTGATGGCAAAAACAGCAAGGACTCGGATAAGACAAAAAAGAGAAAGGCCGAGAATACCAGCACTGCAGGAACTAAGAAACTTGCAATGCCATCGCAACTGCAATTCTGGAGTAACCGACATGCCGAACTGCACGGGATCAAGAAGGATGCAGAGGAGAAAAAAGGGGAAGAGTCAGAACAGGGAGATGCTTTATCTGATACTGCCGCACCATCTCAATCGTACGCTGATCCAAACCGGAACTGCTGTTATCTGTGTATGCGTCAGTTCAAGTCATCGGCAGACGTCAATCGCCACGAGCGTCTGAGTCAACTGCACCGTGGGAACCTGCAGAATGAGGTATTGATCGCCAACGCCATGGGCAAGCTTATCAAACATGGAATTGTGCCACAGCCGGCTGAGTATCGGGACCGTGCAAGAGAGCGTCGCAAGGCCTTTGGCCACGGCAAGACCTCAACTAAGAAGAGCGCAGATCCACCGAAGAAGGAAGAGCCGCCCGCCGAGCCCACATCCAAGGGTGCCTCGCTTCTCAGCAAGATGGGATGGTCTGCCGGATCTGGTCTGGGAGCTCAAGGTACCGGCATGACAGCACCCATTGCCACTGAAGTTTACGCCCAAGGTGTGGGATTAGGCGCGCAAGGAGGCAAGCTAGGCGATGCTGCCGAGGAGGCTGGACGGAACACACGGAACAGGTACGACGAATTTCTGGAGAAAACGAGACAGACGGCACGAGACCGATACGAGCAGATGGAGAGATGAGTGGATGGCTTCAATTGCATGTACAATATTCTTTCACGAAAGCAGCGGCGGATTATGTGTCTTTGATCAAAACCATTCACGTATTTTTCAACTATGAAACAAACAAAAGGGGGGTATTTCCATATGTACAATGTCATCCAATCTCAACCACCAGCATCACAGCATCATAGCATCACACCATATTGCAATGCCTGTCTAACCACAAGATCCGATCCAATTCAATCCCATCATTCCCCTTCAACCCCTCAATTCTCCTCCTTCTTCGCAGCAGCATTGTTCCCCTCCAACTGCTCCTTCCTCACCTCTTTCTCAAACTTCTTCCCCAAAACACTCCCCACCCACTCCGCCACCTCCTCCTCCATCTCCTGATCCGTCTTCGACAACTCGCCCCCATCAACACTGAACCCACGTCTCACATAGCTCTGCATATCCTCCAACCGATTAATATCCAACGCCACCATCGCCGCACCGGACCCGACCATGCCAAACGAGATGACATTCAGTGTCGCAAGATTCAGCGCCTCGAAGGCCTCCATCCCGCCGTTCACATTGGGCCGGTGGAGCACGGAACTCGTGTAGAAGGGCGGGATCTGTGCGAGGAATCGTCTGTTTAGGGCTCGGCGCGTCGTTATCAGGGAGAATGTGAAGAAGGCGAGGCCGCCGAGGAGGAGCTTGTATTTTGTGTTGGGTTTGATGAAGCGGAGTTCGGGGAGGGGTTCTTCGTCGGGTTTTGAGGGGGTTTGTTGGGATTGGTTCGGTGAGGAGGAGGCGTCTTGAGGAGGAGAGGTGGGTTGTTGTCCTTGGTTGCGGTTGAAGAGTGAGGAGAGCATTTTCGTGGGTTTTTGTGGTGGGATTGAGATTTTAGTAGTGGAGGTGTGGGGTTGGAGGGTTTTGAGGAGATCTATATCATCACTTTTTGTGGTTCTTGTTGGGGGACAGGAGAAATGGAATGTAGAATGGAATTGATGGAATTGTTCAAGCTTGAGGAGCGAGAGTGACTGTTCCTGTTGATCCGGTGCTAAAGATAGGCAGAAATGCGGAGAAGCTGATCGATTGGTTCTGTGCCGGTCATGTGATCTTTGCCTCAGGCATGAACAAGACCGACTAGTGATGGAATAGAACAATTCAATAATATTTACCGAAATTCTATGCTATTATAAACAACCAGAATATGTATATATATGTCTTCTAAGTGCAAATAAAATCATCTGATCATGGACTCCAGCTGAAATGTTCCTTAGTCCAGGGCCTTAGCGTATCGAACGTGTATATCCGCAACACTCGCAGCATCTGCTGCTGAATCCACGCCCGCTGTTCATCCTGGAGACACAGTTCCGGCGACCAGAGGTTCGTCAGGTACGAGATGACAAACCAGCCGCCAAAAAGGGGAGCGGTTTGCTGGTGGCCCGGCGTGACTCGTCGGCCCTCGCTCTCGGGGTATTCGACCTTGTGCGGGCCCATCCGGACGGAAGTCATTTGATCGCCAAGAAGATACGGCACGGTTGCGCATATACCTGTGGCAAGCTTTTGAATGGAGACTGTCCGGGCTTGGATTTCGTGGGGCGAGCTTTGTTCGGGAAGGAGACGTAGGCAATTTAGGATGATATTTTGTATGACGATCCGGGAGTCTCGGTAGAAGTTCCACGTTGAGGCAATCCAAATATCCGTGTAGCAGTCACATCGATTCTGGAAGACGCCGGCGTCTCGGACGGATTGGGGGATGAAGGTGGCAGGCATGGGATGCCAGCGGTCTGGGAGGATGTGTTTCCAGACAGAGATCTTGTTGTCAAGGGCCATTGCTGTCGAGAGAAGGGTTTTGAGTTCGTCGATTTGGTAAGTTCCGGGACTAGATGAGATGCGATCCCATGTCTGTCTTAGGTTCACAATTTCGGACGTGACCATGGTCAAATGGCCCGATGCGGTGTGTGCCATGGGCATTGGAAGTGGAGATATAGTTGGGGTCTGGGCCATTGGATACGCTAGACCTAGAGAAGTCCGGATCTGTTTGAAGAAACCTATGAGAAACAAGGACCGCTAATCCATATGAGGCAGCTTACAATCTGTGTTTGAACCGCCATGGCAAGCGTTTCGGAGTTGGCGGTTTTCCGTTGCTCAAGGCGCCGGCTGTTGACAAGTGCGATTGCACCATGAAGATGGGCTTTATTGGTGACTCTGTTCTCTTTGAGGGCGGAGAATTCCTAGATCAGACGCTCAATACATGCAACATAGGGGGTGGGTTTACTTGCATACCTCGAAAGTGGAAAGTAGAAGAATTGTCATGAGTATCTCCTCCACATTTTGATCAATGTTACCTTGCAAGGTGTGTCTAGTCCGCGATACAGCTTTCATAAAGGTCTGTTCTGCAGAACGAAGCAACGATCGCTGGCCTGTCCAAGCCGCCACGGAAAAGTAGGACACAGCCTGGACCGCAAAGCGCAAAGGTGAGTCGAGAGAGGCGTTGAAGTAAAAGATCGGAAGAAGTTCCATGTACCCCAGCCGAATTAGGGGGTCTTTTGGTAAGAAAAGATATGAATTGAAAAATAAGGAAGACACTGTATCGTCCATGGGTAGTAAAGAAGAGCCGGGAATCTGCGGGGGCAAATTAATAGTCATAGGCGGAGGATTCGGAGGATCTGTGCTCGTGACAGGTGCCAGAGCCACACTATTATTTGATGGCTGTGACGCTTGTTCTTGCGAGACCGGTGGATCCTGTTTGGCAACTTGCGACTGTTTGTTGCTTGCAACGGCCTTTTTCTTCCGCTGGAAGGCAGTCCTGTCTCTCAGCATGACATCAAGAGGATGCGGATACCCCGGACAGGAGCGACCCGTTCGGACGCAGGCCTTACAATGAGGACGAGTTTCATCGCACTACATCCAATGAGCATGATGATTGTAAGACTCCGAGATACATACCTTAATGTGCCTCTGTCGACAAATCTGGCACCCCGTGCTTGGTTTCCCGCCATAGACCATTTTTCTATGGCTGTCCAGTAGGAGTTAGATGTTCACATGTAGATATCTGAAGGCGCTATTGATAGAGAAGCTAATGTCGAGGTGGCTGCTAGCCTTTCCATACAATGCGAATCATTCCCCACACAAGACCGATTATTGGGACAATGCGCTATGAGAGCCATGCAGTTGAGATAAGCTTGCGGCCCGAAGAATTATTCTCATGGAAGCGAATCGAAAAGCATGAGAATGATGACCATACTAAGAAAAGGATCCCCGGTCAAATGCTGAGAAATCTGGAAGGATGGCGAGGCAAGTAGGCCGAGAGTAACAAGGCAGCGACCGACCGTGGCACCCCGGTCCCTGACGTGGTGGTGTCACGTGTGCCTCTCGGATTCACTACTTGGGCCATACTACTTACGGAATAGCGTTTTACGACATACTCATACAATGGTCTTTGAGATTAACAAGAGATATGATGAACCGAAAAGTATTCATGAGCAATTGTGGTATCAAATAAAGATTTGGAGCTTGCTAGAGTTCATCTAAGTTAGCATATAGATTCTGCCACCTTCTCCCGAGTGAAAGGAGACTTGCTGCCAAAGGTCGACTTTCAAATCCTTCTGGGATAGGCAACTCTAGATCGCTTCCTGGGCCCATGGTCACTGGACCTGTTAACGAAATGACATAGGCGTAGTGGCCGTAGTCTTCAAGAAACAGTTGGCACGCTACCGTAAATCGCTGCAAAGAGGGGATAGGTTCCACCATACTTGCAGTATTAGCCGTGACTCCTGCAGGTAGGCAAGCAAGAACGACATTATGAGCACCTATGCGTCCGAGTGTATAGCTATTGTTGTCATGAGAGTCTCGCTAGATAGACTGTTGGTCATGCCGCTCATCAAGTAAAGCACTCGCCGTGGCTAACTCCACTGGAAGTGCACAGATCCATCCAGCCGTGTAGTCATCAAGGGCCCAGGGGCCCATCGTGAAATTGGACCACAGAGCTTCATATGTTGCGAAATGATTGTGAAAAAGAGTCTCTAAGAAATTTTCGCCTTCGAAGGGCACATCAAGCTTCTACTGCTAGGGAAAGTGGGAATTGTAAGGAAGCAATTTACCTACCTAACCCCGCTTCAAATAATAGCACTTTGTCACGCGAATTTGTAAATTTGCACTATAGTCACCATTCTTCATTTGGAATAAGTCATGTTCTATGAATAAACTAGAGTAATTTTTAAATACCAAAAGGGACAAGACGTTCAACGCAACACTCCACTAATGTTGGCTGCACTTATTACATTCAATACAATCTGAGCGACCTATCTAAAAGCAGCATTTCCAAGAGACAAGTTTCTAGTTGTGTCGCACTAGTACAAGTTGACGATTCTTTATTATCTGAATTCGCCAATGCTATCCTCAGGACTTTTGGGACAAGGTGGCATTGATTGGCCCAATCGCTTAAGCCAGGTAACAAATATGTCGACACACTTCTATAAATACACGCTATCAATATGGCACATTTGTGACAGTACCATTTATCTGAGACAAACTATAGAAATCTTCATAGGATCCAAGATCGAGGAAACACGTTCCTGAATGGCATCGCTATATATCTTCTTTCAATCAATCTTCATTGGCAGTAGTCCCGCTTGAGTTAGAAAGACTCACAGTGTCATTGATCCGGCACCTAGAGTTCAATCCCCAGCGTCTAATTAACTATTATAAACGTCAGCATGACACTGGATTCCGTCACATTGGCTGAAGGAACTGACAAACATACCTCGTGCGGTCAGATCTTCGAAGCTAGCCTAAGAATCTTCAATTCTAAACCCATTAAGCATCCAATTATTATCCCATCACAACAAGAATATACATGAAACCAAAATCATCGCTTCGCTTGATAAACAGCAAACAGGGCACCTCAAAATTATAACACCAGCCTCAGCCTAAGGGCCATGCTTCGCTGTCCCCGGTAATTCCGTCAGGCCCCCTTCCATCTCCCCCAATGCGACGAAATGACCCTGATGTCCTGAGTTTACCGGTCCGTGGCTCATATATCCACTCGAAGGCATCATCATGCCCGACTGACCCCCATACCCCACCCCACCCTTGAACTGACCATGACCAACCTGCGCTTGAGCAGCCTTCTTCAGCTCCCGATTCTGTTTCTGTAGCCAGAACGCCCACACCAGCGATGCCAGCGCGATCACGCCTAGAGGAGTACCTACCCCTGCGCCGATGGCCGCCTCTTTGTCGGAGTTGTCGTCCTCGCTGCTATCGCTGGTCCCCGGGAGATTAGTTGCACTGACGCAAGCTGTCTGGGTCGGGTCCGAGCCCGTCGTGGACGTCCCGTTTTTGCCGCTCGATCCTGTCGTGCTGTTTATTTGGGAGACGTTGATGCCGTCGGCGTTGTAGTCGTTCTGGTCGATGAGCGTGAGGCCCTCGAGGACTGCGGCGCCGATCATGGCTTTTCCGGCCTTTATTGTGAATGGGTTGGCCCCTGAGGGGCATCCCATGGCGTTGGTGTCGGAGTTCCATTCCAGTGCGTCGCAGCAGTACTTGGATGTGTTGTTGTCGTCCTTGTCTTCCTCTAAGAAAAGGATAACCGCGCCGCGATCTTGGTCGTTGTTGTCTATTGTAGCACAGGCCGATCGTTAGTAACGGGTATGCTATCCGGGACAGAACCAAAAGGAATAACATTTCGAATATATGCGAATAAAAACAAATGCGAAGACATACCTCCTAAACACAGCTGCGGACAGTTCTTGCCCCAATTCCGATCCGTGCAGGTACCTCTCGACAACATGAAAGGCTGCGTCGTAAGACTATAGCAGTACCCGTTATCCAAACATATCGAGCCCGGCGCACAACAGAAGGTGTTATCGTCCGAGGTACAGGGTACGTCATCAGTTGCAGTACCGCTAGGAAACCGACATATGCGATCATCCGCTATGCTTGGCGATACGAGAAGCCCCTGAAAGGCGAGCGTTAGGAGCGTTGACCACCGCATAATTTCCAGACTCCAAGTCCAACTTCCAACGCCCTTTCTGGTCTGAAGAGCTTGATTCGATATTTGCAGGGCTTAATCGAGCGGTGGATCGGTCGCGCACGCGGGAAGAGCTTGACCTCACAGGGCGTAGAATGAGAAGTAAACCAACAGAACCAACATGCAAGAATGGACCGACAGAGCGCAAAGAAAGAAGGGGAAATTTGCGGGTCGGGGTTGGGTTTTAAAATTCCTTCCCAAGAGACTAGAAGTGCTCAGTGCTCCCAGTAGACTATTATTGACTACTCCGTACGACACTAGTAGGCCGGACAGGGTGCAAGGGAATAATACTCCGTACGAGGCGGTAGGTGTGAGTGGATTGAGGATCCCCATCGGTCATGATTATCATACGAGGTTGAGGTTCTAATTGGGTCAGAGAACGTAGTGGTGTTGATCCCTGAGGTCAATTCTTCGCTGTCTCGGACGCTAGGGTTTTCGCGTGGGTGTTGTGTCTGGTGATGGGCCGAGTTTTCTTAGTGTTGACTGTTGATATCCATATTGATTTACGGAGTACGGAATAGCTACTCCGTAGAAAGAAGAAAACTCTCGAAAGGATCTCCATGTCTAGCGGCTCTCAATAAGGACAGCAGTCAGTACATACCAAACCTGTACAAAGTAGGCTTCCCCTAGTTACGGGGTACTCAATATTATAAACCACTGTCCTCAAATTGCCGATATCTTCTTCACAGACAGCCAAGGATCACCCTATCTGCGAGATATTAACCTAGCGGTTTCGCATCACCCCTGAATCCCGCCATTCCACGACGACCTACGTCCATAAGCACTTGAATCATCGCATTTCTAATCACCAGCCCCCAAATCTTGATACTCAATCCTCCATACCCCTCAAACTCTAGAAACCTGCCTTCAAATTGACCACATCAAACAAACGCCAGTCTTCAAACACTCGGAAAAAGTGCGGGTGATTTAATCCCACGACTCTCGTATTGCGCGAAAATCAGGGCCCGACGCCCTTCTTGGCAAAACCTGGGGCGAGTTTAGCAATTTAGCTCTCCCCCTCCTGACAAGTCATGAGCATCGAATCAAACCATCAGTGGAGACAGCGGTGGTGGAAGGGTGGGTTTGGTTAGGCTGAGAGAGAGGTGGAGCGGGCTATATAGAGTGCCCAGTATTATTGGCTGAAGAGGGTTTTGATATTCCGAGCTAATCATATTAAGATATGGACGAGGCTCTGGAAAGTGCCCTGTTAAATGACAGGTCCACTGGGGATCGGGATGGGTTGCTACTTGCTAAATTGTTAGGGAAAGTATTGGTTATGAAGCTGGGAGATAATTCGGATTTGATGTTTACCTACTCCGTATACAACATTCTTATAAGTCCATGCATAAAAGCTAGCCATTGAGGACAAATTTCTATGGAGCATCATAACCGAGGATCTCTGTTTAGCGCGGGATTGTGAGCAACGTTTATTATATATTTCGAGCGAAAGGCCTTGAAGAGTCCCTTTAGTAGACTTGCATTAGGCACAACAATCAAACTTTTTAATTCACTATCTAGTAAACATGCTCATTACTAAACGCGCGGACGTACAGATAGAACAGATCATTGAAATTACTTTATTTTTAATTAAGTTATTAAAATTGAGGAGACTCAAAATTATGTATTGCTACTGCAGACGCTGCGACAAACCTTTGACTCCAGTGGGAGCAAGTATGGCATTACCTTCACTGCGCCCGCTTCGTACTGGTACCTGCGGTGGTTCAGTCTCCCGGGAATGCTGAAGTATACGGACTGGATGAAAGTAATGACCTACGATCTCCACCAAGCCTGGGACTCCAGCAATACAAACGGCAACATTGTTCAGGGCCTCAACAATCTCACTGAATTCAAATTGGCCTTGGAGCTGTGCTGGCGCGTTAAGATACCCGCCTCCCGACTGATCCTCGGATTCGGTTTCTATGGGCGCTCGTTCACCCTGGAGGATCCCAGCTGTACACAGCCCGGCTGCCTGTTTAAAGGCGCATCAATGGAAAGGCTCTTCTCACGAACTGGTGGAATGCTGGCATTTTATGAGATTCAAAGTGTTCTGAGTGGTGGTGTACGAGCCGGTGATAGTCGGATTAGTGGTTCACAAGCCATCGAGCCCGTGTGGGATCGAGAAGCTGCCGTGAAATACTTCAAATTCAATACGGATCAATGGGTGTCTCTTGAAGATGCGGAGACCTTTCACCAGAAGGTTGAGTGGGCCAACAAAATAGGCCTCGGGGGTGCAATGGCATGGGCTTCGGACCTTGGTAAGGGGCATCGGGAGCGCACGATTGAAATGGAAGTTGGTCTATATATTTAACAATAAATGTAGACGACAATAAATACACAGCCCACCCAGCCCTACTGGGAAGAAAGATTACCTCCAATCCGGCTTTGGTCGACAAAGAACCGTCGAATCGGAAGGCTACCGCGGAGCATCTGGTATCCTTTAGCGGACAGGACTGTTTCCGATACGAATGACAGTGTGTGAACCTGAATGACCAAACCGCGATGGCGCTGGCTTATGGACCAGGCTCCACTGCCTTGGACTGGGATGACGCTGGATGGGGTAAGGAGAAGTGTGTAAGTCTCTCTTCCTCTCTCCCTCCCAGCACTGGTGACTTGCTCTCTAACGGCAGCGTGCTTGTCTTTTGCCTTTCTCCGTAGCATTGCGGGAAGGCTATTTGCTGTCCTACGAACAGTGCCCCAAAGAATTTCATCTGGCGTGGGGATAGCACCTCAACCAGAGGCCTGAACACAGACTGCAGCGCCGAATGTAATCCGGGGGAAACCAATATCAGAGGGATCGGCTCCTCATGGGGTGGAGGGTTTCGGAAGGACAGAAATACCATAAAATGCGGCCGCGGGTGAAAGTTGTTCTGCTGTCCCAATCCTGCTCTTACCAGCCTAGTCTCTGGATGCTCGTATGCGGCCAAATGGTAAGTGTCTTTCCCTCTCGAATCCCCTATTTCATGATGTCCGGATGTTGAGAGGCTCCCTAGTGGAGTCAATTGCCCCGACAATTACCGCTCTTGATATTAAAAGCGAGACGACTGCCCCAATGAAAAGGCACGAAAGTACTGTTGCCCTAATCATGTCGGTCAGCTGACTGGGTGTCACTGGGTGGATGGCGGTAAGGCTAAAGACTGCCCAACGCTTTATGTAATGCGACGGAGATAGAGATTGATCAATCCGTATGGAGAGAGAGCCACAAAACCGCCTGTGGTTGTGAGACTCTATGAGACCGTTCACACTGGGGGATGAATTAACCATTCCCTTTCCCTATAGAGGGCCGGCACAAGGCCATGTGTTGCAGCACGAAAGAAGAAATTGTCCAGTCAGCCATCTGCACCTCATATGTCTGCAACATCATCCGTGACTTTTGCCAGAATGACGACGAGGACTGGACCGGGGTCTCAAGAAAAGAGATCTCATTCGAAACGACTCAAATGCCCTGGTGGAACGAGGCGGAAACGAACGAAGATATGTCATATTTGGGAATGTGATCATCACCGCCCTCTATGTGGCCTATCCAGATATTGGCCGATTATTTAGAGGTCAGTCAGCGAGCCAGGTGCCGCGCCTGGTCTCTTGACTGCGCAGCGGGTTTTTCGGTGTCCTAGCATTGAGGTTATGAAGATAGAGGACGGAACGAATCCACCAAATCTTGAGGGAACGGATACAGAGCATATTTTTGACGTGAGAGCAACAATCCCCTGGAATATCTTTCTCCGGCCAAAAACACCCAAACATTGAGCTAATTTCCCATGGGCTAATCAGTCGTTTAGAAGCAAATCCAGAAGGTCATTGTTCGCGGCGCAGCATCTGGTGTGGGAGTCAACAGCAAGCCTTTTGAGGCCCCATTTAAGCCTCTGGGGCCGGCCTTCTGGCTAGAGGAATGGACTAAAAGTGTTTGAGAGACTGAAGGCGATGCCCCCCGTGTGGTCTAGAGATCGAACGGTCAAGGGGAAAAGGCCAGACACCTCGTATGAGCGCTTTGGCGGGTGCTTCGGCTCGAGCGACAACCGAAGCACGTTTTTAGTGGTTGATAACTCCATAAACTGCATTATTAGTATCTGAACTCCCCGGAGGTAAGTTTGCGACGCGTATTCCGGAGACTCACCTGCCTCATTGGCTAACCACAGTTTTGAAAATTCCCTCGCGCAGGTCCAGAAGGCGCTGAGGCATGCGTACGAGGAACAGCAGCAGATCTTCAAAGCTCTTGATAGGGCTGCCCAAAACCTGGTATCAGAGGCTCTTCGCGGAGTTCAATGCGAATTTGCAGACCTTTTATCGGGCTAAACTGGCCAAAGAAATTACAAACTGGACCAGGCGAAGTAAAGAGTATGGACTGTACAAGTCTCTACAGAGAAACAAGATTGTTTCAGGTAGGTTTCTTGCGCGAAGGTGCCCCATTGTTGTTGATAGGAGATAGCTTTTGCAATACTAATGGTCGTAGACTTAAAAGGTAGGTCGAGTACGCTGTCCAGTCTGACAGTGCTCACTGCCTGGATTACGTGAAACCATTGGTCAAGCGAAGCGAAAGGCTTAGTTGAATATCATGAGGGGCGCAAAGTCAAGGAGCATATGGATCTGGGGGGTTAGTCGGGTTGCACATGGGAGGACGCTTCTGAGCACGATATCCGAATAGTAATAGCTTCAATGCTGCCTTACACGTAGCGTCGTGTCCTGTAAAAACATGACTTGCGTTCAGATTAACCAATCATTCAATCGATCCATTCTGTCTGTTCATCAATCGCGGGAGTTTCAGGATTCACGCTCCCCAAATTCCATCCGCCATTGGTGGCACAAGATCCGAAGGTTCCTGACAGGCAAGCAACGCAGGATAGAAATCGGTGATCAGCGAAGCGATCGCCACCTTGAAAGTTCCCGAGTACGACAATCGCTGCTCTCCTAGAGCGAGGTCAACCGCCTTCATGAACGGCGCAGGAGAGCCCTCGCCCGGTTTCACATCCACAACGGAACGCATACACTCCTCGTCGACCATGAGGCACATCCGTGTGTGGAGTCCACGCTCAAGTCTATCCTCCTCAGCATCGTCTTCCATCTCCTCCGCGCACAGGCGATAGGCATACGCCACACTCGCCGGCGGCTCCCCCGCCAATGCTTCATCCGACACGAACCTAAGATAAACCCGGTCGCGAATCCGCTCGATCCCAGACTCTGCCGGGGCAGCATCCATCCCCTCATCAAGGACTACGTCGTATTGGGCCATGAACTTCTCCCAGAGAGTCTCATCGGAGTAGTCTGTGCGGAACACCAAAAAGCCGAAATCAGGCCAGTCTTCCTCCTCGACCAGCGAGGTTAGCGTTTGCAGTTTTTCGAGCGCTGTCGAATCTGAATATGTCAAGCCTGCTTCGGTCTGTCCTTTAGCATCGTCGTCATCATCGGCTGGTGGCGATGGGGTTCTCATCTGGGGCGCCCCGCGCGCGATGCGCTCCTCATTCATGCGGGCCGTGTGTTGCACACTGATGAGCTTGGCTTCGGCTGCCTGGCGTTCCATCAAATGTTGTAGTTCCTGTTCTGAAAGGGCTCCAAGGGCGGCGTCAGACTGGTTCTCATACATTTCTTCCGTCCATCCTGGCGGCAGGTAATGTAAGACTCGATGGTCAGCCATTGTAAAATGTGATGCTGATGAGGGGTCGAGATGGAAGCGGGTGTTTGGAGAATACGGAGTAAGTGTCGGTGACGGCGGAAAGACTATGGTTGCGCGTGGTCTTTGGATGCCGGGGCGTGGTCTTTCCGTGCTGCGCGTTGGTGCCTTAGAAATTTTAGGTAGGCTATACCTATTTTCTTCTAGGGCTAATTCTGACTTACAGTTATTGGGCGCTTTCATATACTCGGCGCGTAAACCAGATGGGTAGACAAAACATATAAGGCCCAGACGTAGCCTCGTAGACCTATGTTTTGATACCTCTTTGTTCATAGAAAGACGTACAATAGTGGAAGTCCTCCTGCATTCTATCTCCTGGAACGTTTTTCAAGTGTGCTGTTCCGTCAACATGCGTCAAACCAAGATGAAGATGTCCGAGGACATAGATTGGAACAGCTTTGTTCAGCAGCCTGATAGTAACACACAAGGGGATTTCAAGGATTCAACAAAGAATCAAATACTTCATGTGAAAAAAATTTTCAAAAGTATTGTCCCTCCTCTTTCTGTGATTGCCTTTGCTGATTCAACGTTCATTCCAGATTTTCGTCACAATTGGACCCGCCAAACTACGAATACTGGATCAAAAATATCACGCTGAGGCTAATTGAAGGCTTCTTGCGCTGGTATCTCAATACCCACGATATGGAGTATCAGTCCGGATTCTTGGTCTTCGCCCGATACTTCAAGATTTTCTAGTGCGAAGAGATAGACAGCCTCTTCCCTTACGATCTTAGACGCAGAATGACAAGGGCAGGTTACTATCCATTAATCATCAAATAAAGAAACTAACCTAATTAGTTGGTATGCACCACTCTTACTGACGAGTATGAACTTGATTTGAGGGCAAAGACGCAGCCGCCTATTAATATTGACGATCTCCTGTACAAAACGTATCATATTATGGCACTCACAAACGTGCATTTCGCGACTGTTCGGTGTCGCCATCAACACAGTTGCCTCAGGAAGATGATGACACGATTGACATCCACATCCGCACGGCCCGGAACTTTAGTTGAGTCTGACGGTTACATGAGGAGTAACGTCTCCTTAAAATAGAAGGATATCGAGCTCTACACGGTGAAGCACCCAGAAAATCAAGCATGGCAGACTACTTATGAGAATTGAATACCGGCTTAACAAAGGCAAAAGAAACAAGGGTGTGGCGTAAGTGTCCCAACTCTTTTCTTATGTACTTTGCTGACCTTCACAAGCCCAATTTACATGTCAGCGAATATGGGGCAATTTTACCACCAGGATTCAACACTTTATCGCTTGCCGCCTAGATCAACTCTGACGGCATTTCATGGCTTCAAGATAAGCCGATTTCAAAGAAATTACGTAGTCATATTGCATATTAAATAGCTTCGTTTTGATCCTCTAAATCAAGAGGATCAAACCTTCATTGAGCCTCGATTCTGCATACAAATTACTAGGCAATATGAAACTTTCATGATCCAATAGTTATGAGCCCGGAGACCCTTGGTATCAGAAACGTTTACCTTCATCTATTTGATCTCTTTACTAACCCTTTACAACCATTTCGATTGTTTAAAGCAGAAGAATTGAAGCTGTACAACATGAGTTCTACCGCTTCGAAGATCTCAGTCGTTTTAAACGATCGAAACGATTAGAACCTCTAGATCGATCGGATCTGTATCTCTGCAGGTAATCAGTAGGACTACTTCAAATTTAATAGCAATAATTTAATTTGTAGCAAGATCTCTAAGAGGCTAGAGCCTGAATTTCCTAGACAGGAAACAGGTAAAGCCAGAGATATCTTCAAAGAACGTTAGAATAGGTATACTGAAGAATTAAAGATACTTACTAAGGTATATAACAAATATGACACTCTTAACACGAAAATCATGCAGTATATTACTAATTCAATCCTTTTATAATATTTTTACTTGATTAGTAACAAGTCTTCAGCATACGACCAAATAGTCGCTCTACAGGGGCGGTTCAAACCTTCAGTATACAAAGAACAATCTTACTGCTTTCGAGCATACGAGAGGGTGCGCCACGGCC